AACGTTAAAGTAAAGTAAAGTAAAGTTAAAGTTAAAGTTAAGTTAAAGTTTAAGTTAAGTTAAGTAAGTAAGTAAGTAAGTAAGTAGTAAAAGTAAAAGTAAGTTAAGTAAAAGTAAAAAAAAAAAAAAAAAAAAAAAAAAAAAAAAAAAAAAAGAAGTTTTTATGAATAGAGTTTAATTGATATTAACAAACATAGTCATACGTACCATTCAACTGCAGCTACTATTGCCTTGCTTCTACTCTATTTTTTTCTTTTCCATTTCCTACGTGTTTTTCTATTCCTATTTCTCTACCCACTAAAACATCCCCCACTACAACGTTATGTGGGATATACACAAGCCAGCTAGGGAGTTCAATCGCACGTGGGGGTACATCGAGAATTGCCGTGATAAACTTCGGTTCGAGTCGTACGTAAGGGGAGGTGGAAGAAGTAACACACCACTTAGGTTGAGATTGAATTAGGGGGGGGGGAGCTATATCAAAAAGTTCCCGATGACCCCGTAAAGCACATGAGAGGGGTAAATGAGGAAAACGGAGAAGAAAATAACAAGGGATGAAAGAAAACATTGAAGCCGAGTAACACTAAGTAAATCCTCAACACAAAGAAACTCGTCAATAAAATGAGTATAAAGTCAGAAATGTTTAATTGAGCTTGCAAGTGTTTATGGTATGTAGGAACGAAAGGATATCATCTTACCTAACCAGGTAGGTAGGTAAGGTTCGTTTTCGTTTTACCCTTTTCCTATATTGTCGCAACCCCTGATCCCAGACGCGGTCCGTGTCTCCATGCTCATTTGAGCATGATCCTTTGCTAGTAATTGCGTCACTGAAGACCATTGCGGAGAAAAAAGGGAATAACAAAAACTGATTGGAAACTTTAACTTGTTCGACGCGGAGTCAAAATAGGATGACCTCGCTATTTATACGGGACGTTTAGGATCATTTTTATTCTCTATTCCTTTGTTTCACGGCATCTTTTATTCCTTTTTTAGTTGAACCGAGGTTTGACTGGTCCTCTATTTTTTGTGTAAATACGCGCAGTGCTTTCCTTTTATTCAGTAATTGGGAACCATTTTATCCTCCGCTGTTCCTCGAATTGTTAAACCCTCGTCCTTTTCTATTTACTAGCCATTTATTTGATCAAACCAAGTAAGAAATCTGCTTTTTTCCCCACTGAATCGTTTCCTCTGTCAAACGAGCTTTTCATTTTACATTGGTTGTCTTATTCTATCCCGGTCTATTATTCCGAGTTTCTAGCCTATCATCTCTTGTAATTATTACGTAAATCCCTTATTATTTTTATCACTTCCGTACAGCTCATTCATTGGCTCAAAATTCCGGTCCCACTATATTGATTATTTCAACCCTTGCGTCAGATTATTCCGGTTGATTTATTTTTCTGCATTTTTCAATTTGCGATTCATAAGTCTGGTTATTGTCACGTTATTCGATTATTTAATTTGTATCATCTGTATCCGGGGCAGTTAATTTTGCCTTTTTTTCATCGTATCTCGTTTATTTCCCGATTCACTTCTTGTTCAAACGGTCAATTTTGCAAGGTATTCCTGCTGTCGGGCCTTTGTCATCTTGTTCTTTGTTACTTTTCTTTGTATTTAATTTTTGTTAATCCGATCCGGTCGTCTGAAGCGCTATTGATACTACCGCTTTTTCAATTGATTACATCAATCCGAGTCGTATAAAAAGGAAGGATAGAAACAGTCAAAATCGTCTATCTGTCATCATCACTACGCTTTTGCCTGACCTTGGTTCTTTTTTAACGAAACCTTAGATTCCAACATTAGTTATTGTGAGGACTTGGTGTTGCTCGTAAACACTACAAAATATCTTCCCTCATACTTTTTCTGACTTTTACCATCTTCACTTTTTGGTAGAAAAATTTTCTCCTTTTTTTGGTAAGTAAATAATCTTTTGTTGGTAAATTTTCTATTTTTCTCTGAGCGTTTTGTTCTTTGTTTTAACCTTCTTTTTCAGTTAGAAGTTTTTTTATTTTAATTTTTTACACCTTGCATCATGGAAGCTAATTTCGAACAAGCTGTCAAGAAGCTCATCAATGACTTTGAATGTCCCACCGAATCTTTAAAAGAGGCTATGAAGGAGTTCGATGAGCTTCGCAAAAAGGGCCTTTCCAACGATGGCGAAATGCTCGCAATGGCTCCTGCCTACATTAGCAGTCTCCCTACTGGTCAGGAACAAGGTGATTTTTTAGCCCTTGATTTGGGCGGTACCAACTTACGTGTCTGTTGGGTTCGTCTTCTTGGCCAAGGCAAGTACGACATCAAGCAATCAAAGGCTACTTTGCCCAGAGAATGTATTCGTAACGAGTCTTCTCAACCTTTGGTTGACTTTGCTTGCGACCATATTGAGAATTTCTTAAAGGAAAACTTCTCCAGTAAGTTTGGTTGCCCCGAAAGTGAGTTTCTTCCTATGGGTTTCACATTTTCCTACCCCATGAACCAGACCTCCATCGTCGACACTACTCTTATCCGCTGGACCAAAGGCTTCAACATCCCTGAAGCCATTGGTCAAGACTTTGGTACTACTTTGACTGAGGGAATGAGAATCCGCAAACTTCCTGTTGTCATCGAGGCTGTTATCAACGATACTGTCGGTACCCTTGTTACTCGTGCTTACACCTCTTGTGCTAATAATACTATTATGGGTGTTATTTTCGGTACTGGCTCTAATGGTGCTTACGTCGAAAACGTCGACCAAATTCCCAAAATGGCCGGCAAGGTCAATAAAAAGAAGATGCTTCTTAACATTGAATGGGGTGCTACCAACTTCACCAGCCTTCCCGCTACCCGTTATGACTTGCTCCTCGACCACGATACTCCTAACCCTGGTCGTCAAATGTTTGAGAAGCGTGTCAGTGGTATGTACTTGGGTGAGCTTCTCCGCCGTTCCTTGTTCCATTTGATCAAGGTTTATAATTTCAACAATGGTATTTTCCCCCCTTCCATCACTGATGCTTGGTCTCTCGAGACTTCTGTAGTTTCTCGCATTGTTGCCAACCGCTCTGTCGAAAACGTCAAGGAAGTTCTCCGTCCCTACAGTATCCGCTTCCGTAGTGATGAGGAAGCTTTGCTTATTTATGATGCTGCTTACTGCATCGGCCGTCGCTCTGCTCGTATTTCCGCCGTCCCCATTGCTTCCCTTTACCTGTCTACTGGTCATGCTGGTAAGCAGGCCGATGTTGGTGTCGATGGTTCCTTGGTCGAGCACTATCCCAACTTTTTGGGTATGCTCCGTGAGAGTTTGAAGGACTTGATCGGTGATGATGAAAAGAACATTACCATTGGTATTGCTAAGGACGGCAGTGGTATTGGCGCTGCTCTCTGTGCTTTACAGGCTGTTAAGGAAAAGTAAATTAAAGTGTGTGATGTTTGTATGCTGTGAGCGAGAGATAAAAGAATTTATGTAGTTTAATTTCATTTCTTTTAACATTTTTATAAACCTCATTAGTAAGACGATTGAAGTTGGTAACTATCCATTGAAATGATGATGAATAATGCTTTGTTGTATCTGTTTCTCGATGCTAGATACTCCAAGTTTAAAAAATAAATAAATAAAAAATAAAGACAAACGCGTAGAATCCATTAGTATAAAAATTAACATTTCTCTAGCAGTAATATTTCCGTCAAAAGTCTTTATAGTCAAAATGAAATATGGGAATGAACGAAAGAAACTTTATACGCTTCCAACAAGGAACATTGGGGTCTTTTTAATCAAATGAATCATGCTAGTTAACAGAGAACCAACAAAGAAGGATTCGTTATTCTTTTTACTATTCACATCAATAAGAGAACAGCCCCCTTCTCTGTAGAGTACTTTTTTGCGTGCACAGGGCAGCATTCGTGATACGCTTAAGCAGTCTTTGGTTTTTTCACACCGTACTTGCTTCGTGAAGAAACACGACCAACAACACCAGCCATATCGTATACACCTCGGATAATGTGATACTGAACCCCGGGACAATCTTGCGCTCTACCTCCTCGGACCAAAACGACGGCATGTTCTTGAGCATTATGGCCAATTCCTGGAATGTAAGCAGTAACATATCGCCCTGAAGAGAGACGAACTCTTGCGACTTTACGAACAGCAGAGTTTGGTTTTTTCGGTTTTACTGTAAAGACACGCGTACAAACGCCTCGTCTGAAGGGACCACCTTCAAGTGCTAATGACTGTTGGTCTTTCTTTGAGGCATCCTTGCTTTTCTTCTTTAAAGTTTGATTCAGAGTACGCATTAAGATCGAAGAAGTTTGAAAAGAACGGACATTTGGAATGTTCAGAGATCTTTGTATGCTTGGTATCCTACCAAAAAATCTTGGTATCTGTCTCGTGCCAAAAATAGGCAAGAGAGACCGCTGAAAGTAAAACATAACTATATGGAAAGAAGGGGAGAAACACAAGGAAATAAATAGCCACTAGCTCCCTCGAATTGTGCCAAAAGGAAGACTTGAAGGAAGGCAAGTAGTAAGAATATGGCAACGTTGGGTTCCTTTCACAGGGTAACAAGTTTTACCTGTTACTCAGAACTTTGAGAAAAAAAATCAAAGACGACGGCTTCATTTATGGCGGTCGGGAAGTTTTACTCTTTGTCTGCGTTCAATAATTGATGTGAATTGGTAAAATTGTAGTCTATACTTAATGAAAGTGTCTACATACCTGCTTTCCTAGCTTTCTTGCGGATCATCAATAGTGACGGTAGAGACTGGCGAAAAATGAAAAAAAAAAAGTCGGCTTTTGCTTTATTGTTCTATTTATTTCTTTATTTATTCTCAAAGTTCCGTCTATGTCTGTGGCCTTTGGGTACTCTACTTAGTACTACTCAGTAAAGTTCGTGCTTGTCTTACCCTGTCACGTCCTTGGTCTTTCTTGAGCTGAGCATTAATTCGTATTTCAGCCTTCTTTCATTAGAATTCATTGAATTCATTATTGTTAAAAAACTTTAATAAAAATTGATCAAGCATGAAGTCTACTTTACGGCTCTTGGCGAAATCTACAAAAGCAAGCAAGAAAACCGGTCCTAGCGTTCGTGATGAATCTGTGCAACTTCTGAGAAGCGTATTATTTGAAGTCCCTAATGAAAATGCCATTCATATGGACAAGGAATCATGGAAAAAGCACGAAATCATAAATAGAGCTTGGGGCATCTATCAGAGCAGAAAGGAAAAAGAATTAGGACGTTTATATGCAAAGCAATTTAAAGCAATGCAGGATGCTTGTGAAGAACTTCGTTTAACCAGCGAAACTCTGTTTAATGCCTCTATGACTGGATCTAAAAGTCGCAGATTTCCCATTCAAACACGGATACCAACAGATACTCCCCCAAGATTTATGAATTAATCTTCCGTTTCTGTGTGTGCCAAACGTTACAGTTGTTTCACCAGAGTAGACCATGTTTAAAAGAACTAGTTGGTGCTATGGACTGGGCCTACCTTTCTCTTTAGTTATCATTTAGTTATATGTAAGTTTCATGAGATCCAATTAAAAGATACACTTGTACTAAAGTCAAAATATTATTAAGTAGATGTTGTTTTTCCTTCATAAACCCCCGATCTAATATCCCAAAAGTAATATGTAGTAAATTTGTTTGCTGTTCCCAAAATAAAAGGTTTCAAATTAAATAACACAGTACCACAAACCATTGCTTCACATAACGAAACGATAAAAAGATGAAAATACAATATATATCCCGTAGATACGCTGCTTGATTTCCTTATAGCCAGAATCTGCGTCTATCAGATTCTTCACCAGCGTTGCTTTCGAAAAAGATTTCTCCTTTCTTGTTGTCCCAGATGCCTCTTTGAACCATTCGTAAACGCATGGTAAAACGTGGTCCTAGTTCCTGCAAACCCGTACCAATGCCATCTGGTCTGTTTGACCTTTCTCGGAAATCATAACGATGACGACGGAAGAAAAGAAAATCACGTTGGCAATGAATAGTTACAACTTGTCGGCCTTGAATTTGTGGTTGCTGAATAAACAGGGATTGGAAAGCACGAGCAACAGTTAGACCCAAGCGCGTGCTGAAGTTATTGATGATCAGTTCTGGAATGTGCCCGGTTGAGCGGCCATGGTTGGAAATTTCCTTTGCAGACTGAATACTGGATAGAGTAAAGTAAAAAGAAGGTCCACTCGGCAAATGAATCAGCGTGAGTGCATTTGTCTGTTTGCGGTCTTCGTTCAAAACAATCAAATCAGTATAACCACGTTTGGAAGCTGCTTCAGCGATTTCATGAATTTCGATATTCCCTGTTCTTTTACGGAATTCCGCATTCGGAAAGCAATCAAGCAATTCTGAAGCAAACTCATAGCATTTTCGTGAAGCACGTTTGCTTGTAGTTACCAACAATTTGGGGAATCTTCTCTCTTCATTAAAATACGACGCAAACTCGTCGTCTTGGATTTCGGCCTGCACCTCTTCATCAGGCTCATCTTGCAAGACCGTTTGGTCGTAAACTCGTTTGGATTCAATAGTTTGAGGTACATTTTCAGCAAGGCGAGCAGCTTTTGTTTCGGGGTTCTTTTCCTCTTCTTTGGCTCTGTCCTTTCGTTTTTCTAATTTTTCTTTCTTTCTCCTTTGTAAATCCTTCAAGTACAGTTGCTGACGAACGATTTTATTCTTGATTGGTCCCATTTTCCTGTCTTTTTGCAAATTCCCAGTCTAAATTCCTCAAAGAGTGCCACAAAGAAGTGTATCAAGCCCTAACACCAGTACAGATTTCCGTTTATTACCGTTCAAATGAAAAATAAAAATAAAAATTCAGTAAATTGGCTTTAGAGATCCAAAAGAGAATGAAAGTGAGAAATGGCAGAGGAGTTGTTGCTGTCAAGACAAGCATAATAGCGAGACTGTATGCAAATTTTAATTGGGATAGCGAGGAAATATGAGCTCGATAATCAACCAGAGTAAAAATAAATGAAGTAAAACAAAAGGAAGAAAGAAAATACTTGCTGTAGAGTCTCAGTTCTATGCATAATAAATCTATTCAACGTTACTTTTGTTTCCATGTATGATCTTACAAATGAAAGCAACTTTTCCTCTCTCGCTCTTTAAAGTTGTGCAAGATCATAGATCACAATGATTAGACACAGGGAAGAAGAAACAAAAAGAAACCAATTTGTTGAAAAAGTAATTTTGTAATTGTTTATTGAGATAAACATCTATTGAAATATATAAATTAACATTTTGAGATTGAAAAATCCAAAGAAAACCGAAATCCATTCCCAGAACATTAGCATTCAACAAACGCATCAAGCACAAAGCATGATGATGCATGTTGATTTCTAAATGAGTATTATATTTTATTCAAAAAAGGGAAGAAACTAATCACCACTTTTTTATCCTCTTGACTCGTTCATATCCAAAAGTTGCACCATACCACGACCCTTTGTTTCGTTACGAATTAGCTCGTCCAGTGTTTTGTAATTCCCGGGAAGCACAAGGGCAACGCATTCATACTCATCATCCATGTTTTCTTCTTCGACCTGATCTGCCAAAGAGCGAATTTTCTCACGCAAAAGCTTTCCTTGTTTGATATCAACAACAACACGAATACGCATGCGAGCACGTACAATTGGAATCTCCCCCTTCTCCTGAAGCTTGCGAATTGCTTCTAAGGCTTGAGATTTTGCGCTCTTGCTAGAAACTGAAAATCCACAATCTGAAATAGCCTTTTCAATGATGGATGCAGGATAGGGACGGCGTGTATTGGGATCAACACACATGACAGTAACGTGTGAAACAATGTCACGGAAAGTAGCAGACATTTGATGGCTTCTTTCCTTTTCACCAACTTGAAAATCCCCCTTTTGTAAAATTTCCAAGATGATAGCGTCAACATCGTCTGTGCCGAAAGCATTTTTCAAGTCCTGTCGACTAGCTACATGGCCTTTAGAGACATTACTGAACACATTATGAATTTGCAAAACTTCATCAAGGTCCGTTTCACTAGCGAATAGTTAGCAAATGTTGATACGACGATTTTTTCATAATTGAACCTTCCACGTCCGATGGCTATTCTGTAAGGTCCAAATGAGTAGATTTTTTCAATTAATTCTATCAGTCTACTCTTATTTCTTTTTTGTTTTTTTTGTTAGCCTTACATTTTGTTTCTCCATTCGGTAACTTTGTTTTTGTAGCAAGCAATTTCAAAGCGCTTTCCACCTTTTTTATACTTCACAACAGATACGTTTGTCAATCGAATTTGTCCAACAGGTTGATTGATTGCTCCCATCTTGCTAGGAGGAAGGTTTTTGTTTTAGTCAAAACATGAGCGAAGCTGCCTGACGAACAAATAGAGCATCCCAACATATTTCGCTATTCGAAATAACAAAGTTAAACATTCTTCGGGAATCGTTCATTAGTAAACAAACTCAAGACTTGGTGTTTATCGAATAAAAGGAATGTAGAGAAGGAAGAAGGAATGCTAATATTCTTTCTTTGAACTAAAATGTAAGCAAATACACACACAGAAGGTTGTTACGGTGAAAGTCAACTAAGGTTGAACCGTGTAGGAAACAAGGGCATATTCAATCCTGTGGTTGACACTTGAATCATCAGTTGTATTTTCCAAGTCCAAATTCATCGACCTTAAGAAGCAGAAGATTTTAAGAAGCAAAAAGCTCAAAATCAACGAAAAACCAAAATGGTCAGATAAAAGTATTGTAGAGAAAAGTCTAAGTATTTGCACTTAAATTTGCCCAGATAAAGTGATCGATATAGAAAAAGTTTTTCAATTCATCCGAACTTTTCCTCATACAAAATTCAAGGATTTATCCCACCTTTATCCTCTAGTTTTCACCTTGTCTATGCGAATAAACAAAGCAAAGGATAAACAGTTTCTCGAGAATACTATGCGAAGAAACAGCAGTCCAATTGTAATTTTTCCATGTCTTTTGCAACTTTTTTTATAGAATTACTTTATTCTTTCTTTTTTTCCAATTTTTTTTTTCAAATATTTCTATACCCTCCCTCCTCCTTATTCATTTTCCTAGAAGAAATGTTTTAGTATTATATACCTCTTTAAACGTATATTATAACAAAAATGTAGTATGTGGAAAACAGTACCGCTGAACTGCAATCTTTACCGCATTCGAACTCATGCTCGTTATAAGCTGTATCAGCTGTACGTTAAAAACCGTTGAACTGCCAATATCCTCTATAGCGACTTTGTATAAGTGCAACATTGAATCTGCATGCTTCGGGAAATTACATGAAAAGGCATTTCCTTGTTAAAAAAAATACCGAATTTTAATCGTTGAAATCATTTAATCTTGTCTGTCTTTTTTTGGTAAATTCGGCTGCTGTATTGGTAACTTTTGTCAGAACTTTTGAATCCCCATCTCAACCAACAGAGAAAAGATATGAGAGATTTACGAGCTGTGTTCCCAAAGTTTTATGGAGATGGTAAAAGCCTTTTGAGATCCAAACGTAATTTGCCAATTCACATGCGGACGCGGCTTTACGACCACCGAAAAAATAAGGATATGAAAGAGAATCCTTCTGCTGTCCAATTGGAATTGCCAATCGTTCCTCCTGCATCGAGAATTCCTTATTGGAATGTTTTTAAAGGTGACTACGTTCATGTTCATAGCGGTCCTCACAAAGGGAAATGGGGTCGCGTGTTGGATACTAACAAGTATACAAATGGCGTTACCATCGACGGTGTCAACGTACGATCCATCGAGATTCCTAGCTACCTTTTAAGAAGCCCTCCAGAGGACGGCAAAGACCCTGTTGTGGATCTTGCTCATGAAATTCCCTATTCGCAAATCCAGTTGCTCGCGAACGCTACGAATGCAGACGGAAAACGCGTCTTTGTACCCGTGGAAGCTATTTCAAAATCCAACTCTCCAGGGGATCGAAAATTAGTTCCTCCCAATTACGAAGGAATCGACAACAAAGACGTTCACCTCCCAGTTCCAAAGGAAGATGAGCCTCAACGGCCTGACGGTGTTATGGACACAAAGGAGTCTACTGTCGCTAAAGTTACCTGGAGTCCTAGTTTGACCGAACCTCCCATGCCTCCTTTTGCCGTGGGAGATTTGCGCGTCAATTGGTCTCGTCGTCTGGAGCGTGCTTGGGCCTATAACAAGAATAAGAAAAGTATTTTGGAGATTGCCAAAAATTTGGTTCGAGCGGAAAATGCCGCCGAAGCGTTTGTTAAACGATATCCCGACCATGTTACACAGAAAAAGCCTAGTTCATGAATTCATCTTTAATTTTTTTCTGCAATCTTTTTCATGTTCACTATCTTAAAAGTTCCATGTATTGAACTCACTATACTGTATTAGAGCTCTACTAGGACTATAGCTGAGTTTTATTTTATCTCTTCTTAATTTCATCTCCTTTCCTACTAACTGAAGAATGTTCCTGAATATTGAATACTGTTAAGAGGAGCAATGCAAGGTATAGAAAAAATTGACAACAGTGAACTCAATTATATGTACTGTAGTAATAAAAACGAAACTATCCGTCATAAAATAAGAAAATTCGTATCATCGTTTAGCTAGGTCATCTAATCTTGCTTGTAAATTGTCCTCAGACTTAAGCTCTGGTACATTTTCCATTTGTGTTGCGGCATCGGGAAGTCCCTGAGATAGGTCTACACCTATTTCATCCAAGACTTTATTTACAAGCTCATCGGCTTCTTCTTCATCATTGTCTTCCAAAGCATCGTCCATACTTTCATCTATCATTTCTTGGCGTTGTTCCATCAAGTCGTTTTCCCGTTCAAATTGCTGAGCAATACGAGACATAGCAGGAAGATTCATACTCTTGTTCATACCACCGAGAAGCTAAAATAGTATTGTATTAGCCATTTATGTTCATCTAAAAAAACCAATTGCTTGTAGTTTTTCAAGAATACATACCCGAGTAGCACCGCGCATACTTTGCATCATTTGTTCACTTGTTCTCGTTGTCTATTTAGATTCCGTTAATTCATGTTACTATATTGCTTAAGAAATCCTCATTCATAGAAAGCAAGGGCTTCCATAAGTGACTTACCTGGAGACGAAGAGAAATAGCTTGCAACTGAGTCTTCGCGTTCATCATCTTCTTCCTGCTATTCCGAAGACGCATCAAATCTCGAGCTTGAATCCTAGCGGCGCCTGTACTACCTACTTTTGCACTTGCTTTAATTTCTTGAATCAAACTTTTCTCTCGTTGATCCAGTTTTAACTTTTCACGATCCAACTCCCGCTCAGCTCTTCCAAGAGATCTCTGATGAGCCCGCAGCTGCTCCTGCGGTGATCTTCGGCCTCCAAATAGCCAAGATGTGAGTCCCATGTTTATTTTGTTCTGGGATACTATATGAATCAAGAAAACACCTTGTAAGCTCGAATTATAAGTATTATCAAAGAAATTTACAAATTAAAGCAAAAAGAAACTAACAATCTCACTCTGTTCAAATGAAAGGTATATGTGTTGCATACTTGCTATGAACGTCAGAAGTCAACCCAACAAACACGCTTGTAAGCTTATGATATTGACACTCAATCAAGTTTTATTTTTCTTATTTTTTCAATTCTACATGAAGTGAGAAGACAAAAGTTGAATGTTGACATGTGCTAAATTTTGACTGGGATGCTGATACAATTCTGCTGGTAAAGAATCTCGTAGTCGCTAATATATGGAGTGGTGAATGTGAGACGAAATAAAAAATAAGTGAAAGGAAATGAAAAACATCTAACTGTTACCAACTGCTACAACAGCAAGCAAGAATAAAGCAAAAGAAATTCATGTTCATCGGTAGGAAATATGCGATGAGTGTTCGAGGCAACAGAATTCAAACGTTTCACAACAGGACTATAAACTGTAGACATTCAAGTAGAAATTTCTTTCACCGCTTTGCATCATATTCGTTTCAGGCTTTTTCTCTTGTTCCCTACAGGACCCAGTACTTACCATCAAGAAATGTCATAGTTTTCATTCACAAAAAAAGGTTATTTACTAAAATAAGAGAGAAATCCTTTCAATCTTTCTCTTGTACTGTTGTTTCGCTCCAATATTGAAGACTGGTTATTCAATACTGGGTTACCAATTATCTTCGTCCGAATTGGATCGTTTCGTCTCGTATTTGCTTTTTTTTTTTTACCTTTAAGCAAGTTTATACAAACCGCATTTGCAATCCATAACCATTGGAATGGTTGGAAAACTAAATGAGACAGACATGTAGGACTTCACCAAAAGCAAAACTCAGTCCCATCTTTACGGAATGGATTTAAAGGGGTTAATACACGAAGGAAATGACCTTCATGACGTTAAAAAGAAGCGCCTGAAAGAAAACGAACCCGAAACAACAGACAGTGATAGGAAAAAACCAAAGAACGTTGCAATTACAAAACCAGAGTTAAATGTCTTAAATAAACCTATCGTGCATGATACAACACGAACAGTTTCAAATTTTTTACTTCATTACTTGGTTACTGAGCCTGTTGAAAACATTGAGGTAGGTCAAGCCTGAAGAATTTCTCATATTTCATCCTTGTTGGATGCACGTTTATTATTCCATCTAACCACTTCACATTGTAGATTGAAGCTAAACTTGGCACATTGATAGACGTGGATTCCCAAAGTCGATTTGAGTTTCCGGTCCTGAGTGAAACTGTATTGAATCCAGAATTTAATCTTCGGACGCGGTTTCAAAGTGATATGCCTGCTTCTGAGCATAAACACTTTAATGAATTTTTGAACAGTGCTTTTCGAGAATCCCAAAGACCGGGACGGATTCCAATCGCTTATAAACACGTGAAGCAAGTGGATTCGTTTTATGAATCTGATTATAAAGGCCATGATAGAATCCGTGTAACTCGAGACCAGAAAGATAACAGAGTCCTTGCTTGTGTAATGAAACGTCGAGTTGCTGATTTGTATTTATACTGTCCTAACGACGCCTTTGACGTCCGAATCTCCATCAGTGATGAAGTTCCTGTTTCTATGCCATCCGAAGAAACTCCACCCCTGTTGACTAGGATTAAAGATCGTGTTGGGTACCAACATCAAGACGTTAAAATTGATCTTACCATGACAATTCAGAATGACCCGAGGTACGACTCAACAAAACGTCACGAGTTGGAAGTTGAATTTAGCAACACCATTGGTTTACGTGAGCGAGCTATACGTGCCAAAGAAGGTGTCGATTCATCTTGGGACAGGAGGGTCCAATTGTTCCTAGACAATATCCGTACACTTCGCTGTGAGAATTCATAAAACTCTAGTCTAATTTTTTTTTAAAAAAAAAACTTTCCTTGCAATCCCTTGATCTGCCCAATCCTTTTTGGATTGTTTTAAAGATCAAATAGCTTGTCTCTCACCTGACATTCGAAAGGCAGATTCTTTTATCCTTTGTCCGCAATTCATGTGAAAATCAGTGTACAGTCCTTTTCAGCTACTCGATTATTATGACAGTTTTTACAAGCTTTCAGTTCATGGTTCCACTACACGGCCGCATTGTTCTTCAATACTTACATTTCTCCTACATTATATTCGGATATTCTTGGTTCTCAGCCTTTTGTTTATTAAAATAATTTATTCTTGACTTAGCATGGTTAATTCATCTCATATAGATTTAGACTTGTAATTTATAATGATGATGGTCACTTCGCTCATGATACTATTATATGGATTCAAGTAAGCAATGTGCAAATCGCTAGAATACTTTACTTTACTTTTAGCTCATTAATAATAATAACAAAAAGAGATACTACTGAAAATAAAATGTATATTACACAAAAAAAGGAATCAGACTATTATACATATACTTAAGGAATGGTATCATCAAAGTAAGTTAAACGAGAATGCACGAAAGACTGTTAACTCTCCAAAAATGTCTCATCTCATTCCTGATGTTTATGCACACCGGTGCTTCCAAAACCGCCAGTACCACGAACAGTGGCCTCCAAGTTTTCAACCAAGATAACAGGAGGTGTAGCAATCTTTTCCAAAATAATCTGAGCAACACGGTCGCCAACTTTGACGGGGAAGTCAGAGTCTCCATGATTAAAGAGCAAAACGCGAACGTGTCCACGATAATCAGCGTCAACAACTCCGGCACCAACATCAATAAAATATTTAGCAGCAAGTCCACTTCGTGGTGCAATGCGTCCATAGGTATCTTGTGGAACAGCAATTGATAAGTCTGTGTCTACCAATGCTTTTCCATGAGCTGGAATGGTGCATTCAGCTGCTGCGTATAAGTCATAGCCAGCGGCCAAAGCAGAACCTTTAGTAGGTACAGTAGCTTTGTCAGATAGTTTTTGAACAAAGAAACTCATTATGAAACGTTAAAAAAGACAAATTAAAGAAATTTACATTGTTCGGCTATTCCATTCCTCCTTTATATCTTATTTAATTAAAATCGCGACGCGAAAAATTTAGTCGCGACGCGTCGCGTTTGTTTACACAGATACAATGGAATGGAAACTGGCAAATTCGCTTTGCGTGGTATGATCGTTTGCTTCAACTTGAATCGTTGATATATTTTGTTTTTAAGCGTAAAAAAGCGCACAAATTTTCAACTGTAATACCGAGGAACTACAAGTAGAGAAACTCAATCCGCATAAAAGTCAGTAGCAGAAAAGCTCTGAAATGGTAACAAAAAATTCATTATAATTATAGCAATAATTAAAATCAACAATTACTCTGATCTAAAACGAACCATAACAAGAGTAGAGAATAAACATTCTTCCCCTACGAGATTTATACGTTAAATTACCATACAAATATAACTCAAATTTACTTACATAACCAGAAAAAACAACAGCTTTAAAGTCATTAACATTGTTAGAAATGTTGGTTCAATTATTTATTGAGTTGGGTTTCTTTTGAAAAAGGAAAAAGGCAGAAAGCTTGCGAAATATAGAGCTGGTATCTGTCCTTGCTAATGGATGCGTAAGCTGTGCATTGCTTGACCCACAACGCTGAGTAGAAGTACGTGAATTACAAAGTGGAACAGAAGCTGAACGAGCATTTACAGAGGAAAAGTGCCTCTTGCCCTGCATTGACAGTGAAATAGGTCTTCCAGGAATTTTTACGGATGGGCAAAGAGCTAGTGTAAAATTGGAGTCATCCACAGCTGGCATAACATCAAGAGAAGAATCGGGAGTAGAAATAGGGCTGGGCGTTTCGTAGCCGACATTTGTGTTATAGAAACTGACATTTGGAAAAATACGGGTATAACCATATCGATTATATGGATAATACTCTTCCTGCTCTAAAGCCGAATTTGAAAGCAACCGAACTTCAATCGGATCAGGAGTTGAATTGGGATCGTAATATTCGTAGCTGGGAGGTGCATTTTTGTACATTAAATTTGAATTATCCTCGACATGCTCAAAACCAGACAAACTCTTCTGTTCCGTATTCCGTTGATTGGAATCTGAGGTAGGGTAAAAAGGAGTGTTATTACCAGCTCTATTAGAGTTGCCTTTAGAACAAGAATCATCCTTTTCACACTCCTTCAGAGCGTTTTCTTGGAATGTAGTTCCATTTAATTTCATAAAAAGGCTCTTATCATGAATGAGATCGTATAAACTTAAATATTTGTTTTTATCGAAGAGCCTTTTTTTACGCATATCGTCTTCTAAGCACTTCGACAAAGCATGATACACTCTTTTCTCGTCATTATCTTCGTGCATTTGTAGTTTTGCAACTATGCTTTTGGATGACTTCTTCTTCCATAAAAGGCACATACAATCAACCACTAAAGGCTCGACATCGAGAATTGAATACGGTGTAGAGGACTTCGGCAGTCGTAGTTCGCAGGGCTGTTTTAAATTTGACTGAATATAAGGATGGTTAAATATTTCAGGAATGGTGATGCGGGTTGATGGATTCACGTCCAACATTCTATGCAATAAGTCCTGGGCAATTGTAGAGCATGAACACGGTAAATCATAAGTTCCACTTAATATTTTATCATAAACAACATCGGTAGATATACCTCCAAAGGGTAACTTGTTAGAAAGCAAAGCATAAAAAATGACACCACAAGACCATATATCGGCGGGAGCACCTTGATAAGGTGTATGAGAGACGATTTCCGGGGCTAAATAATGCAAAGAACCACAGAAATTTGTTAAATAAGAATCATCTGGTTCGACCGTAGCCATACCAAAATCGGCAATTTTTAAAACACGCTCATACGGATTAATAAGTATATTCTCTAGTTTCAAGTCACGATGCCGAAAACGAAATTGGTGGCAGTGAGAAAGGGCGTCCAAGAGCTGTATTAAATAATGGGCTACCTCTTTTTCTGGTAAGGCACCGTGTTTGCGGACGTAGTCAAATAGTTCCCCGCCGGGAACATATTCTAAAGCTAAATACATGTTTTGATGGTCAGTCCAAACATCATACAGCTGCAAGATATTGGGATGGTGCAGAAGACGCATCATCAAAATTTCCATTCCTACAGATACGTACTTGATAGGAAGGATTTTGACAGCAGCTAGGTTTCCAGTTTTCACATGTTTAGCTAGGCGAACACAGCTGGTCGAACCAGATCCCAAAGTTTTACCTAGACGCCATAGACCAATCGTGTTTTTATGTCGTTTCACCATTCAGCACAAAGCAATTAGAGCCAACAAAAAAAAAATTAAAGGAATTTAACGGGTATCAAAATTCGTCAAAAATCGACAATATGAATTGAACCGATAAAGCGTGGTTGATTTCCCAAATTCACAAAATCAAATCGAATACTATAAAATCAGTAAAACATAAAGTATAAATAAAAATGGCTTAATAAGGAAGTCAAGTTTACGGACAGTTAATAAATCATAAGAGGTTCAACGAAATCCGTTTTAATCAAATTTGCATCAAAGGAGAGAGGAAAATGAACAAAACCAAAACGAAAAGAGTAGAAAAATGAGAGTTTGCGGAATTGTGATTCAAAGAAAGAATAAAAGAAAGAAAAAGAAGGGGGAACACGTGAAATATCTTCTATAGAAAAGGGGACGTGAATAATAGATTATAAATAAGTCATAAAAGGGAAAGTAATGAATAAATCAAGTAGAATAATATTCATATATTACCAAAAAGACCTGAGAACTCAAAAACCCAAAACAAGATAAATAAAAAGAATTACAAAGAGAAACACATGTAAAACGTAAAGATGCAGTCGTAATACCTTAACAAAAAGATTTATTAGTACTTGCTAGTAATTTATAAATGAGAACGAAAAGACGAAAAGATAATTCACCTTGGGAATTCGATTCAAAATTATGTTAGAATTCTTCGTTTATTAATTTCTAGTAAGTATACAAAAAAAAAAGACAGAGTATCAACTACTTGGGAAACCTTGGCCGTATATAGTTGACGAAGGACAAAGCACTTGTTCCTGCAGCGGCTATATGAGCTTTTACAGTGGGAAGGGTAGGGCATCTTTCTTGGGAAATTTCAAAGAAAAAAAGTGAATAACTAATAAGAAATAAAACTATTAGTAGAAATACAAATAATAACCAATAAATTATCAAAGGGTTACAGACTCCAGTCAAGGAAAATGTGAAATTTAGACCAAACTGGGTCCTAACAAAGCCATCCAGTAAGATACTAGAAAAAGCGATATCAAAATAGAAACATCTTCTTCGTCTGTACAAATGTCCTTGCATAAACAGAAGTCTCAGCATCCTGCTACTATAAAAAATGAAATCCGAAAATTAAAGTGAACAAACGCTTGGAAAAGGAGAATAAAGCAGTCCATGGAAAAGGTAGGCCAAACAATAGAGATGTAGACCATTTTATGATGCTCTAAGAGGGTTTCTTTTGGTTTTGCTTTACATTGAAAGATTCATTGTTTACTACTGTACTCCAACGTATTGGGATGTTTTACAAGAAAATAAAAGGGAAAACAGCTGTAAAGTCGTTCTCTATACACAAAGAGAGATGGTTGAAGAATACCTTTTTCAAATGATGCTGTTTATTTTGAGTGTCTTTATAAATGTAACCGAAGGAATTCCATCTCGATGTTTTCAAAGGCACAATCTTCTGAGAGATGATATCTTGGAAGCCCTCTTTAGTCTATATAAACTTATATTACGTTTCTTGCTGTTCAAATAGCTAATGAAGACAAAACTTTTCAAATGCTGATATTTGTTTACGTTTTCATAAACAAAAACTTCATTGTTACTTTGGTTAGTTAACAATAAATAGTGTACTCGTGCGTACTGCTGTAAACTGGATAAGGAATGGAAGCTAAGACAAAATTTGATGTTTACCATTGAAACTTGGCGTCTTCCAACCACTATTCATTGAAAATTGAGGATAGGATGACCAGATACTCTACAAAAAGGAAGCACCGTAGCAATGGTAATCACCATCTGTATCGAACCCGTGTGTACGGAAGGTAAGTGCTTTACTTGCCAGGTGTTTTTATTCTCACAGACGCTTGGGTGTATGAAGGTTGTGCTAACAAAGAAAAAACAGAGATTTAGATCAAATCCACCAAGATCTAATTGAGCCGGAAAAACATGAAACGAGACCATTAGATCCTGACTTGCCTGGTTTGGGACAACATTACTGCGTTGAGTGTGCTCGTCATTTTGCCTCTGAAGAGGCGAGACAGGTTCATAAGCGCAGCAAAGTTCATAGGCGTCGTTTGAAAGACCTAAAAGAGGCCCCTTATTCACAAGAGGAAGCTGAGGCTGCTGTGAACATCGCTCATCCCAAACCACATACTTCCTCAGATATGATTCCGACTCAAGAATCCAATGTAGTGATGGCGGATTAGTGGAGCCATGACAACGAGCTAATGTTCAGGTTATGGGCTGCCAATGGTCTGTGCGCTATTAATTGACAAAAAGCTTGAATTATCTTTGCTGGTTTTTAATCAGTCGCTTGCAAGTCATTTGAGTTTCCTTGTATTATGGAGAGTAACAAAGCCGTTTTCTATTGAATCGTTTTTCGAAAGCGGTTTTCTTATTTAAATCTTTCTTATTTTTAGGTTATTGGATTTTGGATTTTTGGTACATATACGGGTCTAATATAATAATGAATTCTTTTTAGCATATCTTTTACCACAACTAAAACTTGTGAATAAGCTCTCTTAAGTTTTTCTTCTAATGTACACGTTTACTATTGGGTGTTGCAGTTAAATTCATTTTGCGTATTTGGAGTGTTATCATGAGGAAATTAGATATTTTATTAGAAAAAAAAAATATATATAAAACGAAGCAATAATTATTAGTTCGTACCATAACAAAAGAAAGGAATGTAAATAAAGGAAAAAGAGAAAAGCGTTTGCTTTTCAATATCTAACGAAGGTCTACCGTTTCCACACTGGAATTAATTTCTCTGACATGCCCTTGTTGGTTGATATTTGTGTAAACTCGTCCTTCGTGTATGTGAAACAAGCCAGGTTTTCGGCAATGTACGACCTCCTCAAGTCCTTTTGGATCAAGCAAACGAAAAATACCGGAGCTATAAAATAACTGTGTTAATATGTGTTGAAAATTGTTAAATAAAACAAATAAATGTACTTACTCTGGCGTTTTTGAGGGAGACATAACAATGGCAATTGCTTCAGGAAGCATCAACTGGTAAGAGCAATGGGTATGTAAATCAACGCTACTCATGAAGCATGTCTGGGTAGGGTGTGTATGGATCCAACCTAAAGTCAAAAGGTCATGCTTATCTTGGTAATCAAACAAGGCTGTTTCATCTGTAGTACCACATGTATCTGTTGTAGCTTCCTGAGAAGGGATGACAAGCCGCGTAATAAAAAACGCGTTTTGCCGCAATTTTCCACAAAGAATACCGCAAGTTTCTAATTTTTTCTTGGTATTCGATTCGGCGACTCGAAGAAACTTCGATTTAAGAGATTTTGGAAGATAAACAGTTCGCAAGGGTTTCCCTCCTTCTGTATATGAATGGATTTTGAAAGATGTCTGGGGTTTTTTATTCTCCGGATAAGGAATAATGTGACCCTTACGATCATCCAAAGATATTTCGGGGGTTAGAGCGCGAGGAAGGGGGACATTATTTGACGGTTTCGAGGAATGAAACAAAGATTGAGACTCAGATACTGGAGCGGTATAAGAAGAGTCTATTGATGATTGAAGAGAAGAGTAATCAAAGACTGGTTTAGAAGAAGAAGCAGATACACTGGAAAGTAACTCATTTGAAGCATTTCGTGGAAGAATCTGTAATTCAGAAAGAGCCCATTGTTCTAATTGTGGCTCAGAAATAGGAGAGGTCTGTCGAAGTGATTGAGATGGCTGTTTTACTTGTTCCGGTACAACCGAAGATTGCTTCTTTTTGTATTCTTCATATTGTTTTTCCACCAAAGGCTTGAGAAGCTCAATCTCTTTTAAAGCATCATTTTTAACAGTCTATGAAGTAATTGTTAGCTTACTAAAAGTTTCCAAACACTCTATGAAGCTGACTGTTTAAAGACACAAACCTGAAAGTATTCAAATAACTGTCTCCGATATCCTTGAGATTCTGGGTGTTGTTGGCATTTCAAAAATAACTCACTATAACGAATTAAAAGAAATATACCATTGGCATAATCCTTCTCTAGTACATATACATGAGCCTAGATCCATCCCGGGGATTTGTTAGCATTTCATCATAAACCGAAGCTGAAACCCAATTGCATTTGAACAATCATTAAACATACTTGTTTTAAAATAGTCTTGGATGTTCGTAGCCAGTTTTTCAATGGTAGGTTAGCATTAAAGGAGAAATTACTAGCACGAAAAGCAAGATCCGAATAAGATAAAGGTGTATCTGATTGCTGAACAACACTCATAAAGAAGACCACTGAACTATGATATTCGCAGCCGCTCCACGAAATTGATGTTTTCTGGTGGTGCCAAAGGTAGAGATGTGAGATTATTAGACTTATAAGCAATATCGTTACGAAAAGGGATTTTGCGGAGGATCGACAAGATCTACCTATTTTTGAGGATTACGTTTGCATTCTTAACGAATGCGAGCATAGTTCACTAAAAGAGAAATGAAAGACAACGTAGTTGAGAGAAGTAAACATTGAGCGAACAAGTTTCATAATGGAACTTGTGAATATATGAGCAATATGCTTGGTTTTGAAAAGGATTAATTTTCATACATCAGTCATCTAATACTTAATATTATGGGGTTAGAAAATTATGGGGTCGGAAACAAAATGTCTATACGAGAAAAGGAAGGTAAAAAAGAAAATCCATCTGTAGATAGAACGAAATTGAACTTGGTTGCAATCGCTTGCATGTTGTTTGAATGAAAGGGTAATTTTTAGGATTCCTCAACAAAAAAAGGAAAAGGAAAACATTGTGTATAGAAGAGAAAGTAACAGGTAAAAATAAAATAGAATCCTCATCATTCCCATAAAGAAATTGGTAAGTTGTTACTGCTAAGACATTCTTTTAAGAATTATGTTTCAATAAATAACAGTAGACATTATCGAAAAAGTGGTATAGAATAGGATAAAAAAATAAAAAGTATAAAGCAAAGAATCGAAAATAAAGTCAACACCATACATTATTTTTATGCATTGGGTGCTGAAGGTGCTTTCTTTTTCTTCTTGTTTTTGTTTTTCTTTCGATCGCGTTTCTTCAACCCAATCATTCCACCTTTGCAGACCTCTGTATATCTTGCAAAAAACTCTGTAAAATCCTTTGCATCTACAATCGTCGAAATTTTCCAGTTTGCTCCATTCTTGACTCTTAATAGGAGTGACGGTTTGGAATCTTGTTCATCGTTGGGAACTGGATCTATAGCAAACCGATTAGCATCTTTTCTACCATTATCAATCGCCTTGTTTCATTCGAGTCATACTTTTCTTTTGGGAGAAATACAAGGAACTAGCTCCTTTTCCTTGTAACTGCTGTAAATGCTCGTCTAGCTGAGCCAGGTACTTTTGTATCATGTTAAAAATCAGCCTTTTAAATAAAAAATCACTTACCTGCTCGTTACTTAAATACATAGCAGATATAAAAAGAAGCTAAGATTAAGCATTTGTCTTGATTCTTCTCGTACTTCGTTAACATTGTGTTTTATTTTTCGTTATGTTAAACTACCGTAGTTCACTAGGATTTATAGAGGTCACAAGGCAGGAAACAAAAAGTACAAAACAAGGTCACATTTAAGTCACTATTTTTGTTACTCACTTTTGAAACGCGCAAATTTGAAGATACGAAAGTGTCAGTGAAATAACTTCCAAGCAAATTAGCAAAGAAAAACAGTGCTTTTTTAGTTTTTACATATATTAATCGTTGAATCATGGATTACCTGTCCTTCTGACTCAGTATCACTCTCGACTTTACTTGAAATAAAGGTCCGTTACATACTTATATATGAGAGGTAAACAAACAATACTATAGAATGCTTGACTGAAAAACGTTTACTGAAATTTGGTTAAATATCCCTTCAAGGAATTTTTTAAAAAGGAGATTACTTTCTCCGCAAATGCTCGTGATAATGCTTTCATGAGCTCTATTCATTTTATGAGATAATTCATGGCATTGGATGGAATGTAGCGGCCAATGTAATTAATAATCTGTCTGCAAAGGGTATTAGAAGTAAGTCGAAAAACCTATCCAATGAGAGATAATTCATGAAAAGGCATTTTAAAACGATATCTTTAACAATAAGCTTTCATTAAGGCTTTAAAGCTTTATAATACTGCGTAAAGAGTAAGCCTAAATGGTACTATATATGTCCATGAACTGTTTGCATGCTATATGGTTGTTCAACTCTAAGGCCAGTTTGTCTGACGAACCAGCCATACTAATATAGTAAGGATACAATTGATTTTGTAAGAAATAATTACAACCAGTAAGTAGCGAGAAAAGTCCTCAATACACAGTGTCACAGACTCAGGAGCTCGGTGTATCATCGATAAAGCCATTCTGCCAAGATTTCCTTAATGTCAAATGAGCAACAAAAATGGAATGAGTCAAGAAGGTTGATTTACAACTATTATGAGGATCATTTCCTTAGATACGCAAATCTCGCCATTTAACATTGCAACATCTTGACTTGAAGTCTCTAGGCGTACGTAAATAACTTCAGTAAAATTAGTTTTCTAAAAGTAACTATATAAAGTTGCCTATCGAAAATATATTTCCGATCAATTAGCTATATGTATAAAGACGAAAGCTTTAAACCTAAAACATCCATCCACATTCGGTCGTCCTAGACGCTCGTCAATAATAAGCCTTTTAATTTATAACATTATCATTCATCATTGAAGAAAATTATGTGTTTCCAAGTCGCCAGTTAAAACACCAATACTTAATTCAGAGAACGCTTTCCAAGTAAGCGGAAAAAGGAAAGCCTTGGTCATGTTACAAAGGCATGGTTATAAGAACACTAAATAATAGTAGGTCATTTAAATTAATCATTAATCATCAGTAAGCTAGAGGGCATTATAAGCAGTCATCAAAGTTGTCGTCCATTACAAAGTCATCATGGGAATCGAACAGTTTTGGTTCAACGTCGAAATATTGCACAATATCTGAAATTTTTTTCTGATGTTGTTCAAAATCAATAGCTTCATCTGAATTTCTAAAGAGAAACCCAAAAACCATGCATGGATCTAGTTCGTGAAGAGATATCCGTCGTAAACTTGCTGTGTGAAATGTATCTTCAGAAGCAGGTTGGCATGTTGTATGGGCAGAGTATGTGCAATGAGGATCAAGGTAAAATAAATGTTGGTTTTGCCGAGCATAAAAGTAATGTGCAGATCTCGGTCGACCACCAGTTATACCAACGAACGAAGGAATTTCAAAAACACGTAAAATTTGCTCATGATATAAGTCATTAACAGAGTCAATGCCCAATCGAGTAGGAATTAAAAGTAGTATAGGAAATGGATTCCGAAAGAGCTGATCTCGATAAACGCTTGTACCATTTTTGGCTACGTATACATGTAAGCCAAGGTCCTCATATTGTTCACATAGTCTCCTATTAAAATGTTAGTTATGATCTTATTGAGTTTCCTTTACTGGAAAGCCAAAAGCTGTATTGTACTACTGATAAACAAAAGTAACAGCAAGAAACAAAGAAAAATATAGGCTTTCATCTTTGACAAATCTAGAAACAAAGTACTTACGAAACGCATGAGCTAGAAGCACTTGGACCAAACCAATGACCAGGTGGAATGTCACAGTACTGTTTTCCCATATACACAAATTGATGAATCGAAAAGGGGGCTGCTGGTTCGTCGGCAAACAGATTCACAATGCTATAAAGTTCCTTTTCTGGATACAAAATTCGAATAGCGTTAGCTAGCAACGTTTGAGTAGATCGAATCATGCATCCCCAACCGGCGTCAGAAGCCAAATTATCTAAACCATCAATTCCTGATCGATAAGTGATTGTAATCAGCGAAAAAGAGTCTACTAAAAATTTCTCTGGCCATTGATTATCTTCACTTTTGTATGACTGTCCTAAAAACCAAATCAATGTTCCCGGAGGTTCTGTGTTTGAAGGAGCAAAATGTAAATATCGCTCTATAAAGCGTGCCATAAGCTCCATGCCCTTCCTTCTTTCTCAAATGTATTTTAATAAAATATTTATAAGTAATGAAGGACGTTATGAATCTCAATGGCTTCTGTAAGGCATTGGCCCATTCCCAGTTTTCACTATCGCAAAGGCTTACTTTGCTTCCTCTTGTTCACACGAAGTGGAGAGACGAGAATTACAAAGTGCGTTGTAAAGTGCTAAGTCTCTTTACGTAAACATTCGATTTCGTTATTTCTATGTAAACAAATGTTCATCGTTTTTATCCAGTAAGTTTTTTAACAGTAAAAGTTGAAAAGTATCGATTCCTATTTTGACTTATTAAAGTATTATTTGTCTTAACGATTATAACGAGTGTAAGTATTTACTTGTTCATAAACGTCACTGGGAATTGTCAGACACCCATTTTACGTTCATAATATAACTTGTTGAATTGGTTGGTCCTTGTGTAAGAATTCCTTTCAACTGTAATTTCTGAAAGCCACGGCTGGTTTTCATATAGTTTGAGATTTATTGGACTGCAAAGCTTGCCTTGGATTTGCTAGTTGATTTCCATTCTCTCGTTCGTTCTGCGCCTGTGTCAAAGGTTCGTTGATTTACTTTGGATGAACTTCAATGCTTTATTGCCCTCTTCGTTGTGACTCTAATGAGTATTCCTCTATGGAATCCATCCATCACTTGGAAACAGCTCATGATATCCCTTTGGCTTCACTAAGTTCAAAGGCTTTTCTATGCGCTCCAGAGATTGTATCTAATCTGGAAGCGAATAGAATTGCTGCAAATGATCCAAAAAAGCTTCTTGCAAGCTCACAAGCAGACGCCTTGAAGCGTGTGTTAAATGTTCAACAGAAGGAAAGAGTTGCTGGAAAAGAGAAACGATTTAAATGCCTTTTTTGTGGTAATAGATATTTATTTACCCGTGAAGAATGGTTTGAGCATAGTTTTAATGCCCATGAGCTCAACATTGGACTATCGGATAATGTTGTTTATTTTGACTTGTTTCTAAGCAAATTGAAGCAAGAATTAGAAAGGTATGTTTAAAAGCTACATTTATATTCCAAAGAATCCCCCTCGATTAACTTTCTTAGCTTATGCTGTCTTTTCTGTTCTGCTTCTTTTCAAAACACTGATGTTCTCTATGACCACATGCGCAAGAAGCGACATCTTAGACTAAATTCAAAGTCATCCAATTATGACGAACATTATATCATAAACTATGCATCCATTACTAAATCTTTCGCTTCTTCGCAGGTCGATTCATTCGTTGCTGACGAAAACGATACTGATACAGCATCTGAGTAAGTTTTCCTTGAACTATCTTTGAGAAAGGTTTATTAATTATTTTAATAGTATAAATGATGAAGACGCGGAACCAATCATCGCCAAATGCGTATTTTGTGAGGAACGATTAGATCCAGAGGAATGTTTTCGACATTGTAGGATAATTCATGATTGGGACCTTTCTTCCATTCAAAATCTATACCATTTAGATATTTATGGCACTATTCGCGTTATTAATTATGCTAGAGCTACCCAGTCAAAAAAACTACCTAATAAAGACGATCCTTTTTGGACCGAATCGAAATGGCTAATTCCAGTTCTGGAAGATGATGCATTAATTATTTCCCTTGACAACTCTGCCGAAGACACTGTATGACCTTGTCCGGTTACTGAGATAGGTCTCGGTGTATGCTTTCTTTTATTATGGTAATTTCCGAAACGTTCGTTCAGCATCCCCGCTCGCCCTTTCTTTCCATTTTTTCGAAGCTAATTTATCAAATTTTTTTGTTGATTACGGACGACCATCTGAACGCTGCGCTTTCACAAATTCATTCGTACATTTGGATACCGCCTTGGACCCAAGTTTGCCAGATCCTTAATTTTGAGAGTATTTATTATTCAAAGTTGAATTGAGCCACTTTTCAATGACTAGTTTGTCCCTCTAACTCTGTAATAAGATACATTCTAGTTGGTTTCACCTGTTGAGAGATTTATATTTGTTTGCTTTGAGAACTTTGTCTTTCCAAAATTACAATGCATAGAAAGGGATATAGAAAAATTTTGTTTATTTATTCTATCTATTGGACCATGGTGTATATATATCTTAGTTGGAATCAGTCTGGCTGAAAGCATATATGTAGGAAGCATTCTTTTAGAAGCATTAGCATGAACAGGTAAATCTGATTTATGAGTTTAAGAAACCTATGATGGAACTTGAAAACTCTACATACAAAGCATTATGATTCAGCACTTTCACTTGATCTTTGGGATAAGCATCCTGTAGTTGATAGTCAGATCAATTATATTCTTAAACTATGGAAAATTACTTTTTTGATTCTCGAGTAAAGAAAACGTATATTTTTGGAGACAGTGTTTTAAATCATCACTACGTCCAATTTCTAACAAGTTCCACCTTGGTAAACCGACTGTGAAGTGAATTTTTACTTGTTTACTGATTTATAGGAATAAAAAGTAGTTTCTATAAGTGTTTAACGTTCTATTAATCTAGTTATCTTCCTTAAAAATTGCCTTTGAAGCATATTGAACCAAATGGCTATCCAACTAGGAGATAAAGTCACAGGAGGCTTTCAACAATTTATAAATATCTTAATAACAAAAACACCTCTATTCACTGTTTCCGTTGCACTTGTAACATTCGTTTGTGGTGTATTAAACGTTTTTCTTCCTGTCACCTCCTTTTTTGGCTTAAGCTTGAAGAATATTACCCAATTCAGACGTACGTGAATCTATCAATTTACTTTAAATACTAACTTACCTAGTTCATACACTAAACACCTATCCATTAGTTCATCATGGGTTTTTGACATTTGTTTTCGGTCTTATTGGTATATTCTTTTTGATGCCACGTTTCGAGAAAAGATACGGTACTATATGTACGATTGCTATGTTTTTTGGATTTTTAGAAGTTATTCCTGGAATTGCCTTTTTATTTGCTTGTTATGTCTCTGATTCTAATACTGTTTTCGTTGGAATTAGGTAAGTTTAAATGCGCCTGAGCTGAGATTAGTTCTCTGATTATATCTTATGACAATAGAGTTTTTATTTTTTATATTGACTAATCTTTATTTTAGTGGATGGACGTTTTCTTTGCTGACAATGTACTTGATGAATCTTTTCTATGACCTTCATCCCAAGATGTAAGTGGATCTTGAAGACTTTTTTTTAAATATCTAACATAAATTCTTTACAGATTAGCACTTCCACAGTTGGTTCGTATGGTCTTGGCTATTGCCGCTCCTTTTTTGATACTTCCTTTCGATTTTTCTGAAAGTATTATTTTACATTTAACCGCTGTTGTTCTTTCTATTATCTTTTCCTTAGCTTATATGGACTTCTTACTACCCCCTGCGAGATTCCTAGTGTGGATCGAAACAAAACTTTCTCGAGTAGTTGATGCTATTCCTAACTACATTTCTGTTACAGAGGCTTCCTATTATCAAGGAGATGCTTTACCTGTACAAGATTTAGGTAGCAACAGCGCAGGAATTGTATAATTATGAAAAAAAAGAGGCTGAACTTTTAGTGAACACTGCAGAGTCCTCAACTATGGTTTTCACTCCTTTATCTTCGATTTAATAATTGAAATTATCACTTTAGTGGATCTTACCCAATCATGCTAAGGACTCTTATACTTGAATCCTACAGTCGTCTAGTTGGAAACATATATTGCCTTGTTTACGAAATATTACGGTTCAAATTTACATTTACGAGAGCACTCTTTCAGTTGCAATGAAATTTATCTTGCATAAACACGTATGCCAACCTTTCTGCAAGGCAAATGTCTTTTGTACCTAATAAGAAATGAAACTATAATAAAGAATCAAAGCCTTCAACAGGAAATTATTGATAGAAACTTTATTATCGCTATAAAAGTAGTAACTTTTCCTTTTGTATGATATTATCTCGCGCTTTCTTTATATAAGTATATTATTCTGCTATAGCGGCCCATCTCATCTGTGCAACACCATAAGTTACGAATGCAACAACAAATTGGAAAGACTTGAAACATTGTATATCTACTCGTCTTATGAGGCCAACGACTCTTATTTAAAACCAAATACAAGCCAATACCTATGTCGGAACGACTGACGCCAATTCGTCTACCCAACACTCTCAATTATCCAATTGAAATCGCAAAATGTCTGGTACCAGGCGGTACTTACGTGAAAAGACATACTCCACTGTTGCTGTACCGGTTTTTCACGAAGGTAAAGGAAGACCAAGAGGATGGCACAGAAGAATACGTAGATCGCGAGTTTATTGAGCAGTTTGAATGCCCTGTGGAAGGAAAGCTAGTTGAATGGGAAGTAGAGAATGATGAACAACTTGAAAATAATCTGTAAGTGTACATCCAATGGTACGTAATAGATCTAATATTTTTTTTTGATAGAAAAGTGGTAGCAAAGCTACATGAGCCATGTACTCATGAAGTCCATTACGGAGGGTTGTGTGCAATTTGCGGAGAAAATATTACAAGGTATGGTTACTTACATTTGGGAGAAAGAATTTCATTACTAACAAATTAATAGCCAAGATTACATGGGATACTCTGACATGACAAGAGCAAATATCAGTATGACCCATGATACTGGTGGTTTGACTGTCAGCTTGGACGTAGGTGGACTCTCACTTGAAAAATTTAGGTGGATGCTAACTCTGAAAATTTGTAGGAGGCTAGTCGTATCGAAGAACAAAACGTGAGCCGGCTGCGTAAGGAACGAAGGCTTTCTCTTATTGTTGATTTAGATCAAACAATTATTCACGCAACTGTCGATCCGACTGTTGGTGAATGGATGTCTGACCCTTCAAATGTAAATTATCATTTGCTAAAGGATGTCCGATCATTTTATCTACAGGAAGGTTATAGAACATATTCGTCTTGTTATTACATAAAGCTCCGCCCGGGTTTACAAGAATTTTTGACACGCATAAGTAGTATGTATGAATTGCATATATATACCATGGGTACGAAGGCGTACGCAAAAGAAATAGCTAAAATTATTGATCCTGAGGGAAAAGTTTTTCAGGATCGTGTCCTATCCCGTGATGATAGTGGAAGCCTTACTCAGAAGAGCTTGCAGCGATTATTTCCTTGTGATACTAGCATGGTCGTCATAATCGATGACCGTGGTGACATCTGGGATTGGAATCCGAATCTCATTAAAGTTGTGCCCTTCGAATTTTTTGTTGGAATTGGTGATATTAACAGTAATTTCCTTGCTAAACCCACTCCTCTTCCCGAGCAAGAGAATACCTCACCTGTCGAAACCCCACACGAACAGACTGAAAGCGTTGATGTGAACACAAATCAAGATGCCGTCTTACCCGAATCTTCTGCTTCATTACCGGGTTCTTCTACAATTCCAGAGCGCACTCTCCTAAAAGAAACATTTTTGCAAGATAAACAAGCTTTAGATGAACAAAATAAGGAGAGGTTTACTGCTTTACAGTTACAGAAATCAGAACGACCCTTGGCGAAACAGCAGAATGCGTTGCTTGAAGAGGATGAACCTGATCATTCTGTATTACACGGAGGAGATAAAGAACTGTTGCACCTAGAAAGAGTTTTAACGAGGATCCATCAAGCATATTACGATGAAGAGTCGAATAACGAAAAGGAGGCGAACAAAGTACATGCTAATGTGGAAAGGATCATTCCTTCTATGAAATCGAAAGTTTTGAAAGGCTGTAGAATCCTTTTCAGTGGAGTAATTCCACTAGGAATAGACGTTGTAACTAGTGATATTGCACGATGGGCAACATCATTCGGAGCACAGATTGTCGTAGACTTTGACCAATCTCCAACGCACTTAATTGCAGCGAAGGTATGCAGTTCTTTAAAATATGTTTTAACTCACCAAACTAGATACGTACAGAAAAGGTGAAAACGGCGATAACATTGGGTAATGTACGAGTTGTCAAATTGAATTGGCTTACTGAATCACTGTCAATGTGGGAACGTCTTCCTGAGTCCAACTACTTGCTGTATCCTAGTTACGATCTCCCAGATAGAGCATTATCTGACCACTACTACTCTTCAGACTCAAATGATGAGCAGAGAACATATGAAATTAACGACCGAGAACTAGACGATATCGATTGGAATGAAGCTGATCGTGATGTTGAGGATGCATTGGGGGATTTGAGCGAGGGCGATGATAACGAAGAGTAAGCTTTTATACTTAGGTAAATGTTCTCGTCTCTAACTGTTTAGAAATCCTAGAGAAAGCGATGAGGCAACACCTGCGGACAATGAATCAGGTTCAAAAAAACGAAAAACTGATAAAGACGATTCACTTTCCAAAGCCTATGATGAAAAACGCAAAAAGCCTAATGAAGCAAGGAGTACGAAAGAAAGTTCTAATCAAGGGCAGCAAGGGAGTAATGAAAATGACTTGGAGGGTTTACAGGATCTTGCTGAGCTAATGGAAGAAGAGCTATCCAGAAAAGAGATGTCATAGATTCTTTTTCTTTTCTCTCCATCATTTTGATTAATTCAAGAATTTGTCTATATCACAACGTGCATCTAATAAAGCGTGATGTAAATAAAAATAAAAATAAAAAAATAGGTTGAGGGCATTTGTCTTTTTTCAAGGGAAAACTATCCATAATTGAGCATTCTCGCTCCACCAGAACAACATGTAGCTAGCTTCTACGACGCTTGTTGACTTGTTCGTAAACTAATCACTTTTATCGAATTGCTATAAACCATTTTTTAGCATACCATACTATTATCGTGTGCTCGTGTTCAAACATGATGAGTGGTTAAAGTGGTTATAGCTACAAACTACCGAGTATAGAAATTTACATAAGCAACTTAAGATCGCATAAATAATGGATTACATTAATCAGTCAATTCTCAAAAAATATCAATCAATTTAAAGTGAATAACTGACAATACGAATTTTTGTGTTCAAGTACGTTCATAGTAACTTAAGAAGAAGGGTTCATTCTTCTCTTGCCACCAGCCATGTTAGTGACATTGACGAAGCGACGAACGTATACGAGACGCTTGTGAGCACGTCCCTTGGGTTGCTTAGGCTTCTCTTGCTTTTCAACCTTAGGGCATTGAGATTTCACCTAGAAACATGTTAATTTACCATTCTCACAAAACAATTGAAAAAAGCAAAGAAAATTATGCCTTCTATATTCTATAACTTACCTTACCGGCACGAGCTAACGATCCGTGAACCTTACCCATGTTGTCTGTAGTTGTTAAATGAAAATGCAAGGCCCCTGCTAACATGAATTCACCGAAAAGCAGTCACGCTACCTTCGCTTCCGGCTGAAGCTTGTTTGTGCGACTAGTAATATTTGCTACCCGACTTTGGATGTTACCCCAGAAATATTTCCACTCGTCACCTTCCCTTGAAACATTTGGTTATGTGCCACACACTTAAAAATTGTACGCTCAGGCGAAATGTATATAAAGAGTTTATTAAACCTGCACTGATTTTACAGAGCTCAGTTGTCCTTTCTTTTATGTAGAAAACCTTTAAATGATGGATTGTACGTATGAAAAACACAGGCAGGTGAATTGAACAGTAAGCTACAGGAATTAATGAATTGATTATGGTCAAATTTACCATGAAAACATTAGTCATGTCATTTCAGAATAGAGAATAAATCTAAAGAAATAAAAATAAAAAGTAAGAGATATAGAAGGTAAAAAGGAACGAAAAAAGAAATCAAGTAACTATTTACAAGGGTTTGGTGTCCATAGCGTAACTATTTCATCCATCACTTAGACCAAAAAAGGCGGCCTAAAAGCAAAAAATATAAAAGAAAAAAAGTAAAGGAAACAGTCCGTTCAGCAACGGATCATGCGAGCAAAGTAAACATTCCATATTAAAAATTTACGTTACAAACGAGAGAAAAAATTTGGCATAGATGATAAGTATATGCAAAACTTTGTTTTTGTGGCATCCATTCATGCTAGAAAAATAAAAAAGAGGATAAAAAATAAAAGAACGAGTATAATCTTATGCATAATTCAATCTTGATCAGAATTATGTTAGGCATTTTTTCAATCACGAGATCTTACTCTCATGCGCTTCAATTGCCCCATTCCTTTTTACCCAAATGTTGGTGTAAACACCAGTACATATGTAAGGTCCGATCGAAACATGCCTCACTCAATCGGAAGTGTTCTTTTTAGGGTTAATGACCCTACCCATTGTAGGTTGCATTAACCGGAAGAACTTTTTAGAATTAACGAACTTAAATGTGTATTTCAACTTATGATCAAGGACTAGTGGCACCACAATCATTGCAACAAATGTACACAGAATAAGCGTAAACAAAATTGAGTAGCGATAAAACGTTCTTCTGCGAAGTTGATTTTGCTTAAGTGTGTAGATCGGAGGACGTATTTGACGGCTAGGCTGAAGCCAAAACAATAAAACAGAGTGAGGGATGTCAATATAAGGAATTATAAGTACAGGTACCATACAGAAAAGAATGCAATGTGCCAACATGAAGTCCATAGCAAAAAGATTTAGTTCAACGATTTTACACAAGAACTCTCGAACAAATTGGATAGGCTTCATGGGAATATCTCTGCCAATCCATTTTCCATCCCACCAGCTAAAGTTGGTCTCTCCACCAGAAACCTCCCGAGGAAGAATGAATACAACTACTAACTTAAAAAGAAGCCGGTGAATCGAAATGATGACGATGCACCCCAAAACAGTCTTGGAAAATGACCATGCTTCTAAGAACCACAAAGCCTCAAAAGTAAAAACCAATCCAACAACACAAACACCATGTGAAATAGCAGCCATAAAACCACCAAATTGCTTACAACATTTGTTTAACAAGGGTCCAAGACAACAGGATACAAGCAAAGACACAACTAACATACCAACGCTAATAGCTATAGGCAATGCTGCCATTATCCAAATACGAATGAACCCATTAACTGAGCGCGAAGTGTCCTCCAAACCAGGCTGAGAATTCATAAATGTATATGCAGTGAGAGAGAAAAAGCAAAAGAATGCAGGCACAAAAACTTCAGTGAACAATAAATTTCTAATACTGGCACGAGGAATGTCCATTGTAATTTTGTTTGATGGAGCCCCTTTAAGCTTTTTCTGAACACCGGTAATCCTTGTACGAGCCAACCTGCAAAAACCAATCCAGGAATGAGCATGTCCTTTGCTATTACCACGAGAGAGCCAACGAAGGAATTCACGATAATCAACGAAAAAGTCAACAAACGAGAATTGGTGAGGATTGTAAAGGAATGGACATATAACTAATGCAAACATTGTGCACCAAAAGTAGACATAATGAGTAGTCCATACCGTCATTGTACCAAACAGCAACATTAGCAATAAACGTGCACCGAGATAGATAGAGGAACCGGTATATCTGGAGTACAAAACTGAGAAAGGCACCCGAGTAGTAGCTAGTCCACGGCCAGTAGCAATGTAGCGAGCACCGCCAAAAGTCAAATTGGTAATAATTGACTGAGAATAGTTTTGAGTGACAAACACCTCAAACATAGGGGAAAACGAAAAAATCTGCTTACACAAACGGGAAACAGCACGAAGAACACCTTTTTCCAGAAGATCGTGTACAATCAAGGGTAAGAATGAAATGAAGAAAACAACAAAAATGGAGATAATGCATCTTCTAATCCAATCCAGAACTGGCTTGAGCATATAGCATCCTGCTGGGTAAAATCCTTGATTAACTGCACCACTGGATTGATACCCGCAAATAGGAACAGTATGGTACATCGCACCGACGTTAATGAACACAAGCATCAATAGTTGCATGGATAACATAATAAAGACATTGTTAAGATGGAAGCCTGCGTGTGCATAATAGAATGAAAGCATTCTAAAGAAAGGCAATTGAGTACCTAAATAGAAGTACTCACGCGACAATGCCTGTTCACCCATACCAGTACCAATTTTCGTAGTAAAGTTCAGAATAGTACCAAAACCAAGATCACGACCCTTACCACATTGGAAGTAGTCGCAATGCTTGATTCGCCCTCCACGCTGCATAGCATTCATACCAGCGTAGATATCCTCATTAACGTGTAATCCTTTCTGACCTTTAGAGACACCACCGCGTGTGGTCATAAAGATTGTATTTAAAAAGTCAGGATGACCATAATGCAACTTACCACCAATTAAAGCCAAAGACCGAGAAAATAATGTACCAAAAGTCTGTTCCTTGCCGGCAGCAACATCACCTAAGATACCACTATTCTCTGAAAATACATACTCACGAGAACCCACCATAGCAACAGGCCAATGCTCTTCTGAGGGAGTATAGGGATTCGTCGTAACAGCATCCATTTCTTCAAATTCAGTAAGAACACTGCGAATTTTCAGACACTCCTCGATATAATTATCTTGGTTTGCATCAATGACTTGAAGATACTCACCACGAACAAATGGAAGAGCCATATTTTGATTATCGGCTTTACCGTCTCCCAAAATGGGATTACCAGATAGACGAATACGGTATTTTGGTAAGCGACGGCCATTCTCGAGAGGACAGAACCCATTGATAAGAGTTGCATACACCTTAGGCTCCTCACCATCCTCAGCTGAGTCTTCGTCCAAGTAAGAAATCTGAAGTTCAGGATGAGCTCTCAAAAGAAATTCCGTGTTCTCATATTCATCGCGATTAAATTTAGAATAACGTTGCATGGAGAGACAAAGACGGAACTTTCGATAAGCCATTTGCTCCAACTGATGTTCTAGTTTTTCAAAGTTACCATCACATTCGTCCAGTAAAGCAGGGTGTTCAACACGATAAAGCAATTTCAAAGCACGAGAATAATTCATCATACCACTCGCAGTACGGTACAAGGTTTGACTCCGAAGAGAAGCCCAGATTCTAGTACGCAAAGTATATTCCGGAGCCGTAGATTTAAATCCTATGCAATAAAAAGGAAGATCTTCCTTAAGGAAATGATTCTTTTTTGGCTTTTCAGATTTGGCATCAGCTTTGCTATTATCCAAAGGACCCGTTTCACCAGCCATCAGCTTAGTGTCTTGAACAAAACAATTCCAGTCGTGTGGGTAAAGTTGCTTCAAGTATTCTAATAAAGTAATTCTCGACATGGGATCTTGTTCGCGAATAATTTCACGAAGGCTAAGAAGAATTTTTTCACTGTAATGAGGAACAAGCACAGTAAAAGAGGGCATCTTAGGTACCGGCATAGCTTCAGGCAGGTTCGCAGCTAGAGACTGTGAGAAAAAAGAGATTCTCCTCTCTGCTTCCGACGTAGCTAAAAAGTACTTATTTTTTATTGATTTCCCTTTAGCTGATTCCATAAAGAATTTGGGCGACTGAAAAGTTTGTTTCCCGAAATACTCTGAACCAACCTGTTGATACAACAAACCTTTTAGGTGTTCTAAAGAAAGCAAGTGTTCTCGGTACATTGAAATCATAACACTATTCCATATTTGTCCAACGTAAATCTTCGGTTTGAATTCAGTCGACAACGACTTAGAAGAAAGCAGGTTAAAGTATATCCGCCTTGGCAGGTTCGAATAAATCACACGCCAAGGAGTCCAAATTGCAGAACCAATCTGGAAGGAATAGCCGATGCTGAAGATAGTACTGATTAGCATATACCATAAGTATGTATCAAGGAAGAACAAAACCAAATCTGTAAGATAAACGAGCGCTAATAAGAATTTAGGCTGATATCTACATAGACTAGAGCCAATTAAGTAATCACTACAGTCGTATGGCCGCATTCTCTGTAAATATCGGACAGGATCACGAACCGAGAGAGTAAGAAAGTAGTATGACTCAACAAACTTGGCGACAAACACAGTAATCCACAAACAAATCGACAAAAGGAGGCGGCGCCATGGTAAAGTTACAATGTTGTTAGTAAAGTATTTAGTGGCCAAGTACTTCCTAGAACCGCGAAAATTAAACCTTGGGCCCAATAAGGCAGATAGAGGAACAAAAGTCTGATATGCAACACAAGCAATAGAAAAAAAGAAATGAACATAGCCAACAATTTCACGACTTTTATAATGTTGTTGCTGATCGTTAGAAAATCCAAAAATGAAAACGGCAGGAATTATATTCAATGCAAGCAAAACGGATACAAATGCCAATCTGGGCAAAACAGCTTGGGCCCCAGGTGAACTTCTAGGAACGAAGTAACCTTCCAGAATAAGCGCCACAAAATTCAGAAACGAAGCAACGGCACCCGCAAGAGCAGGTGCACTCCACTCGGCAGCGCGAGCAGGCTGAGTATTCTCTAGATAATGAAAATTCCTAGTATATATGGTAGGAGAATTATGAACGGTAAAATACCAAAAGACGCAGAGATGCAAAATCCAAATACGATTAAAATTTGTTATAAAATGTAGCCAAGTACGAGTCTCTCTATACGATTTATAACATACGCGATTCCATTGGACTTGATCGAGTAAGTGAATTCTTGCAGAAGGGAGCGCCTTCATTATTCCAGAACCGTCGGCAAGCTTTATACGTTTGATACCGCTAGCATGCCAAAACATTTGATTGACATCATCATAACCAATAATTTCAGAATGGTCCTTTTCTTTCCGAACGTACTTTTGGTTACGGATTTCATATTGCTGATCATGCAACAGATTATACAACGGAGTAATGCAATGATCAAGAAAATATTCTTTGGGGGCTGGATTCTTTTGCTCTTTATATTGAGGGGAAATAAGATAGTCGTAGGCTAATTTATAAATAAAGCATAAGCATTCTGGCATAAATCGAACATTGTTAGCTTCACCCCAACATAAAAGGTAAAGAGCTAACTGCTCAATACGCTCGTAGTTAGATAATTCATCCATACGAGAAACCCAAAGCGCATCGCATCCGGATAAGTCCGAGGGAGCGGTCTGATTAGAAGGATCACGAGAAATGAACGATGGTACACCTGAAGCAAGATCAAACTGATCCATTCTGGAAGCAAAGTACCATTTCTTGAAATTAGCATGAGGACCGCCAATATAATCGGCATGTATAGATAGCAAAGCATCTTGAGGAGCCATGCGCGATGAACGAGAATCAAGCATAACCATAAGGTAGTCAAACATGTTTCTCATACTGTCCCATTGGAAGCCAAACTTCATAGCAAGTTCGATGAAAATATTTTCAATGTCAATGGCAAGGATTGGAGCTTTATTATCAGCAGTCCATGAAGCATACAATGCATCATAATCAATAGCTTCATCCGTTGAAGCAATGCTTTCACCTTCTACTATGTATTCATGGCCGAACTCATCAACCATAATTGAATCATGACGCTTGGCTAAAGGATGTCCCCGGTTGTAAGGGAACATATAGGAACTGCCAGCGGAGATATTGGATTCATCCTGAGAAACGAATTCCTCAGAAGAGCTAGGTCTTTCGGGAGAATTGTAAACACCTTCATTCGGAACCTCTTCCAGTATATCAGAGTAAGCATCTTCTTGCTCGTGCATAAAAGGATTTGCATGAGACGACGGATGATGGCGTCCGCCAAAGTATGAATCAGAAGGAAAGTTTGGGTTCATTGGAGTTTCCTCGCTTGCTCCATGAAGTGAAGAAGCAGATGACTCTTCAGATCTCTGATATGGGTACATTAGGAAGAGATGTTAAAGTAATAATTATAAACAAATTTGCGTAATGATAAATTTGAAGAAAATTGTTTAATATGGTAAGATACACAAGACAAAAGTTTTACAAATTGAAACAAATCCCTCTTCAGATTTGTTACCAAAATGTCACGGAAAGTTAATTCTTGATAAAATCAAAGAACTTACCATAGATCTAATGCCTGGCCAATATGAGCAAAACGAGAGCAAACTTCAACAAAGCTTCAACAAACAATCGAAAGCAAACTGTAGGAAGCAAAGCAAATGCAAAAATTAAAGTCAAGAAACTATTTACACAACTGAAAACGAAACGACTGGTGTTCTCAGATGTGAAAGAAACGAAGGAATGCTAGAGCAATCAAAGAGTGAGAAACGTGAAAAAGAACGAAGGTGATTGGAATACAAAACTTAAACGCCAATTATATGTAAGGGAGAAATAAAAGATAGAGACGAATAAACCAAGCAACGCAATTTAATGATTAAATCACAGAGATTTGGTAAATACAAAAGAACGTTAAATGGTGAACAGAGGAGACTTGTCCCTTCTGTCCTTTTCTTTCGGGAAATGCAGATAAATTGGTTATATCAATTCAAATGGGAGGAATAAAAATAAAGATGAATACGTATCAACTTTGTAAAGGACGAAATACTAGACTTGAGAGCTAATGTTCTATTTGAGATAATTAACACAAAAAGACAAACGCCGCCGTTCACTCTGGGTATGCTTAGATAGTTCGTATGGATTTTTTTAATTATTTTTTTTAAATCCAAACTTTAAATATCTTCCGAAGTACTCAGGCGAGCGTTTCCTTGCTCTATATTGTTGGTGAAAGTGCAAAAAGTGTTTCGCTCTTGGTAAGCTAAAGAATCTCTATAAAATATAAATAACCAGAATACCTTTTCTTCGGAAACCTCACAAGTAACAGGGAAGGCGTTACAAAAATTACATGAGCCAATAGAAAAAAAATAAAGCAATTATTTAACCTGATCAAAGAGCGCTTTCTATGTATTTAATTTTTCCTCAAAAATGATCTCAGATGGCTTAGTGTGTGAGGGGAGGAAGCGGGAGTGAGGGGGTCTTTTCGTTAATCTAGTGGTCCTTGACTTTTATTTGCTGGAGATTGCTTTTCAATTTCAGTATTCTCCTTATGCTACCTATTGCTACTTGATCTTTGTTGAGTTTCTTCATCTAAAATCTGAGTAACGAGAATAAAAGACACATTTTCAAATGAAACAATGATCTGATATTTGGCTATTAATTTTATAACGAATCTATAGATTGAATGAAATGCCAAGAAAGATAGGACTAGAATAAAAGGTCATTTTTAAAAGGCAAGCGCTCCAACACAGTGGGGTTGCGAACCCTTTGCTGTTATTTGTTGTCACTTAAAATATCAGACACAACTCAACCCAATCATGGGGTGGTGTCCACGTTTATATACATTTGTGTTGGTTTCTTAACAAATCATGACAAAATTGCGATCGTTTAAGATCTTTCATAGGCTCTTTCATATGGATAAGTGCACTTTGAAAATAAACAAAATGATTAGATGAAAAAGTAAGACGTACTGTATTTACTACATGCCATAGACCGAACACACCATATTTGCGATCTTAGTCAGTACTCAAACCACACTGAGTATTTCTTCCTATAAACATATTTTAGTGGGGGAGAAGAAAAGCAAATCAATCGCTACATCAACTTACTATGAAACAAAAGCCGATATCCTAGTTCATTTACTGTATACCTGACATTAGTCTGTTCTATTCTATTCTGAAAGTTTATATTGCTATTGTAATTGTAATTGTAATTGTAATTGTAATTGGTGTCCTTTCCAACTTGCTTTCATACAACAAATAATGATATTAAGTTGGCACTCTGGCTGACGGCCTACGAAAGAACAGTGGAAAGCAAAGTCGCCTTCTTATTGGTGCGACCCGAACAAATCAAGCATATCCTCTTTTTTCTATCGCTCTGTCCCTCTAAACAATCACTTACGTCTTTGTTTTTACGAATGACTTGATCTACGAGGTATTTCCAAACTTAAAGGTCCTCTTCCTTTTATAGAGGAAAGAAGCAGGTCTTTTTTTTGATTTGAACGATGACGAAGGAATCGGCTAAGCCTCTCTTGTCGAAAATCTCGAACCCGCCTACATTGCTATAGCAACCAACACAGCCTTCATTGAAAGTAAACAAAGGACATAGTATGAAATACCATATGCGTTATTTCGGTTGAATTCCCCTTTTTTTTTCTCCTGTTTTTATCATAAAAACAGTATTCTTTATCTTTATTTATTTTGGACGATTTAGTTTCGTATATTTAGTCAGTCTACGAGTGAATTATGTTTTTTACGTAAAGTTGTTTATTTACGGAACGTAACAAGCTCATGTTATATGGTTACCGTAACAACGGCCCCCTGGACGGAATATATATATATATATCCCAGATCCCGTTGGAAACCAACTAGAGCTTTCTTTTCTCACTCAGGAATTTAATTTTTTACGCGTCGGACGCGTAAGTAAAGTATCTTCCTAGAAAAAGGAAAACACATATACCCACTCTCTTTTAAAAAAGGGTGCTTTTTTTATTTAGGAGATTTTTATTTCCTAATTCTTTCTTTTATATCTTTTCTTTCATTTCTTGCATTAAAAAATACAAAATAACGTTCATTTTTTGAGCTGGTATTCTTTCTTTTAAAATGAAACTTGCTCTCTGGTCTTTGGTTACTGCCGGACTTCTTTGTTTGGCTAATGCCGTCTCTCCCGTTCATGTGGACGGCCGTTATTTCTGGAACCAAAATGGTACACGTTTCTTTATCAAGGGTATCGCCTATCAACGCGATACAGACGGCAGTTCTAAATATATTGACCCTCTTACCGATAAAAGTGCTTGCCAACGTGATGTCAAGTACTTGAAAGAACTCTCTGTTAACACCATCCGTGTTTACAGTGTTAACTCTTCTGCAAACCATGATGATTGCATGAAGGTTTTTGATGACAATGGAATTTATGTTCTTTCCGATTTGTCCAGCCCTGATGTGTCTATCAATGCTGAAGATCCCTCTTGGTCTGTTGATTTGTTTAAGCACTATACTGATGTTGTTGACTCTTTGGCTCCTTACAACAATGTCCTCGGCTTCATTGCTGGTAATGAGGTCGTGCAAAATGCCAATAACACTAATGCTGCTGCTTTTGTTAAGGCTGCTGTCCGTGATGTCAAGAAATATATCGTCAACTCTGGTCATCGCCAAATCCCCGTTGGTTACTCCACTAACGATGAGGAAAAGACTCGTGTCGCCATGTCTCATTACTTTGACTGCGGTGACAAAGAGGATATTGTTGATTTCTATGGTATTAACATTTACGAATGGTGTGGTGACAGTAACTTCCAGGAATCTGGTTATTCTGAGAGAACTCAAGAATTCAAGAACTATACTGTTCCTGTCTTCTTCAGTGAATTTGGTTGCATTGAAGTTCGTCCCCGTAAGTTCACCGAGATTAAGGCTATGTTCAGTGATGAGATGACTGACGTTTGGTCTGGTGGTGTTGCTTATGAATACTTTCAAGCCGCCAACAAATTTGGTGTTGTCAGCGTAAGTGGTGACTCCGTTAGCACTCTTACCGATTTCTCTCACCTCTCTTCTATGTATGCCTCTGTTCAACCCTCTTCTACGCAATCTTCTTCTATGTCTCTCACATCCTCTGGTCAATCTTGCGCTGCTACCCAAAGTGCTTGGAAGGCCGCTACAGACTTACCTCCTACTCCTTCAGAGGATGTTTGTGAGTGTATGGACAAGAGCAGAGAGTGCGTCGTAGTTGACAGTGTTGACTCTGATGACTACGGAGATCTTTTTAGCTATGTCTGCTCTAAGATTAATTGCGATGCTATCAATGCAAACGGTACCTATCCCGGTAAATACGGTTCCTTCAGCTACTGCGATGCTAAGCAAAAGCTGAACTATGTTTTGAATGCTTACCATGAACAAAAGGGCGGCTGTGACTTCAGCGGTTCTGCCACCTCCACTTCTGCCGCTTCTGCCACCGGTGCTTGTTCCTCCTACCTTTCTGCTGCTGGTAGTTCTGGTACCAATGTTATTTCCGTCACTCCTGACCAAAATGCTGTTTCCAAGGGTAACGGTACTGATAACATGTCTAGCACTTATGGTGGTAGTAGTGGAAAGAACAGCAGCAACAGCAGCTCTGGTAATGAAAAGAGTGCTGCCAGTTCTTCATTCAATACCAACGCCATTGTTGCATTGGTCTCTATGATTGCTGGTGGTATTGCTGTTTTGTGCATCTAAAACTTAAGTTAACCGTTGCTAATGCGGGTCGCATTCTCATTTTGTTTGATACATTTTCTATAAGTTTGTTAAATCTATTGCAATGTACATTTGTGTTATATGATATATACTTATCCATTATTTTATTACATCTTTAATTCTCTTTGTTTTATTTTTTAGATATCTACAATAAATATTTTCAATGACTGTTTTGTGTATGTCGAATATTATATGTAGTAACGTAAAGTGGGTTTTTAACAAATCAGCGGTGAATTCATAGAAGATGTCGGTCCTTCATTTGGCGTAAAAGAATTGAATATTGAGGACATGAATGAGGTGGTTCTTTATTTTCACTTCCCTTCTGTGAGTACCATGAGTTGCAGCATTTTAGTAAAGAATCAACGTATTCTTCACATTTAGATTGATTATACTGATGTCTTTGTATGCAATTTTGCAAATTGCAAGCTTCCTTTTGGCAATCTGCCATGACTGATGGAAATGCGTAGTTGCTTAGTTTAAATATCCTGGTAGGAAAAGCTACACTTTAAAGAGTCGTAATAATGAAGTACTTCAAGACATCATCACAGTGCTAGTAGCATTACTGGAATCATACAGTTGATGTATATTTACAATATAGTTATTTCTGATAGCTCATAAATAAAACCACTAATTGATTTATCTAAGCTCTTTAAGAGTGTCTATAATCTTCTGATATGATTCGGTTTCGGACCATGATTCTTTACCTGTGCCTAATAAAGAACGTAAAATGCTTCGAGATTTGAATTTCCAATCTTTAGCAACAACACCACCCATTCTACCAGGTTTCTCGCCAAGATTCGCATACGCTTCCACCAACTCTAAAGCACTTTCTACCGTTTTATTCCAAACTGTTTCGTCCGAAGTAATATTTGGACTAGATATCAAAATCCGATAAGATTTTATAGTAGCATCCAAGGATTCTGCATACTTTCTTTTCCATAGGTTATAACGAGCTATGATTTTCCAAAGTCGAGTGTCATTAGTGATCAAAGGAATAATCATCCTAATTAATTCGTTTAACATCTTTGCAATACCGGCTGAATCATCATCACAAGTTTGCATTACATGACTGACAACTAGATCCAAACATTGAACATCAACTGCTTTTTCTCCCGCAGCTTTGCTATTAAGTTCTATAATTCGGCGAATAGCGCGGATGACTTCTGACCACTGGTTCACATCAACGGAAATTAACATATAATTTTCCCAGACGCGCCAACTATCATACATATATTTAAGGCCCTGTTGTAGGGTGTGCCAGGCTTCCCTCTTGGAATGGCTATCAGCCTTCAACATTGCACTTGCCAAATTATTCCAACTTTCTCCATCTTCGGGATTAATTGACAAACAACGTGTAAAAGCTTCCATTGCAGAATCATAATTCTGTATTCCTATAGCAGCACATCCGTAGGTAAACCAAGTAGGATGTGATAAAGGATTAATACGAAGAGATTTGTAGAAAGCATCCATAGCTTTTACCAGTTCACCTTGCTTGAAATAGTAGCGTCCTAATGAACGCTGGGCGGGAGCGTAGCGATTACCAGAAAGTTCCCAGGCTTCTGTGTAATGCTTAGGTTCATTCTGGATATCTCCAAGCATAGTACGCAATAAATGTTCTTTCGGGTCAATACTTAACTGTCTTTCAATTACCTGTACGGCTAAATCTCTGCGATCAAGTGAGCATTGGCAGATGACAACACGATCCCACATTTCTAAACGTTCAAAAATCTCCAATGCAGACCTAGTAGCACCGACTGAAACAAAGCGTTCAGCAAGCTCGGCTTCCAATTGCCAACGAGAAGGCATACGCAGATTGTAAAAATAGGCTAAACGTTCTTGTACAGAAGCACTTTCATCTTCTTCTTTTGGCTTTGGCAAAAATGATCCAGAAGTATTCTTGTGATCAGCAGCATCAACAGCAGCACCGGAATTAAGTTGATCATTCATCTGATCGAACAAAGCTTGCATTTGTAAAACGCTTCGTTCGACAGTCCTACTTTTAAAACCTTCTAGCCGAGCACGAACTAAGAGGCCCATGGTATAAACTGACCAGTTAACTGGATGGACCAACACCCGCTCAGCATATGGAGACATTTCCTCACGTGTTAAACCATCATCAGGATTATTGTTCTTAATTATGTGACAAAAAGCCAATAGCAAAGAAGCATCCAAAGGATGTAATTCCGACGGATGATTTGGGTCTTCCGTCGCCAGTATAGGATTAATGTTCTCTTGAGCAGCCAAACTCATGGAATCCTCCTTGAACGTAATCCTCTCTAAAAGTGTGTCATCATCCAAATTGAATGTTTTAGGTTGAGTCTTGAATCCTTCTGAAGGATTCAATCCGGAGGAACGATCACGAGATTTTGCCAAAACAACTAATTGTGATGTGTCAAATGTCTGAAACTTGGTTCTTCTACCCGGGGCACCGGTAAGTTCGAAATTGAAACCCATAATCTCGCCAGAATCTTTCAATAATTGCAAAGCAGCAGCATCTCGATCGTAGTAGGATTGGATTAACCCAAGCTCTATGGCGAAACGACCTTGAGTGTCCCGGTCTTGTGCTTGAATATAATCTTTTATTAAATTCACATTTTTCATGATTCGATTAAAGAAAACTGAAACATGATTCCTAAGTAACTGTTGATGAATAAAATCCAGACGAATACGGTGCCAGATATGAACAGGATTGGAACTTTGAGCAAACTCAAACAAAGTTTGTGCAAGCAAAATGAACAGAAGTTTCGGTGTTAAATGATAAGGACGTTCACCCTCTTCAGTTAATGCTTCCAATACAGATGCATGGAGTTTTTCATGGTTACGGATGGCTGCAGGAAGCCACTGAACAGGGTCAATAGGAAGAAAAGGACCAGTATAGTTAGTCTGAATAAAATACTCCAAGAGTTGTACAGCTGTGTCTCCAAAATCTTCTTTTGAAACGTTGTAACTGAATGAATCTGAGTTCCAATATTGGCACAGAAACTTGGAAATATTGACTGTATCCGCTAAAACATCATTAAAACTCTCAAGGGATTGTATATGAGACCCAAATAAAACTGCTTTATCGTCGATAGGTGCCATTGTGAAGATCAAAAATTTTTCAATGCGAAATCCGTTTCAAAACCGAAAACCAAACCCTAAAAGTGCCTGTAAATTTTAAATAAATCTTTTAAATAAAGTGCTAAACTCTCCAAGGACCTACTCGTCCTGAAACAATGATTTATGGAGAGGCAAAGAGTGCGTAGGTAATTTTACTAGCTGAAAATATTTAGTAAGCAAGAAATACGTTATTTACCTCTTACAGTCAGCAAAGTAAAACTACTCATTCATAGGGAATGAAATTGAATGTAAAAATTTGAAACAATCTACTTTTTAGACTATAAACTCTTGCAAACTCTTCCGATTACAAACTTGGAATTATACACTTCATTAGATGCAATGGCGTTTTTATAATACTTGAAGGCAATGTAGTTAGCTACAATGAATTCATGTAAAGCACGGAATATATTTAGATAAAACAAGGTATTATTTCGTTAGATACATCACACTCAAGCAGTTCCAGAGAGGGTAGCAAGACCGCCCTTTTTGTACAAGTCTTGGAAATCAGAGTTACCACCAATATGCTTTTGGTGGATGAAAACGTTGGGGACAGTACGTTGACCAGTCTTCTTCAAAAGGTAAGCTATAGAATCGTTCGTTAGTAGCTATCCTATTTAGATGTGCGATAAAGAAGGAATCGAGTATAAACTTCCTTCACCATGAAAGCTTCATACCTTGAATTTCATCGCCATTATCTAAAGCAAAAGTTAGTACAAAATTCCTCGCTACGATAGCTACAAACTGCAACCGTACCCAAAGTGTCTAATTGGAAAATTTTGGCCTTGATCTTTTCATCAGCGATAACCTTTTCGGTAGCATGGCAGTAAGGACTAAATATTCTTGTAAGCAGCTGGACCTTGATATACGGGACTTTTCATTCTTCTGCTAGATAAAAACGGTTTCACGTGGTAAACTCGATGTCACGAGAAAAACAGTGCACAACGCAAAAGAAAAGAAATCTAGTCAGGAAGAAAGCAAAAAGTATAAGACACCTACCAGTAGGTCTTGGCAAAGACGACAACGTCGTTATCAGCGATGGCAGATTCAACCTGAAAATGAAGGTGTGAGTATAGAAACAAACAAAACACATTTTTTGCTAACATACAAGTTGTACAACAGACATTTTAATATTCAAACTATTATGCGAGAGATATGTGTTAAAGGGAAATTAATCCTGCCTTTATACAAATTATATAATTATTGCTTACGTCAGGTATTGTTACTTGAGAGAAAACTGGAATATTCAAAAGGATTGTTTGTTTACTTGTAAATAAAATGGTAAAAAGAAAAGAAAGAGGGAGTGAATGATCTTACAAACATTGTATTCACATTCAATATGAATATAAAATAATAAAAAATAACGAAAAAAAATGAAAAGTCGGTTTTTACCATTCTGAAAGAAAAACATGAAGAACAAAAATTGAAAAGGGAACTTGCTGGCATTGTAAGGATTTTTAATTGGAAATTAGCATAAGAAATAACTAATTCTTTAGAGCAGTTCGAATTTTTTGTGCATCGTTCCATCTAGGTAATACTTTTGATCCTACGTGTGTATAATCAGGAACCATAAGGCTTGTATTCAGTTGCTTGAGATCAGGTTATGGCTAACTTAGGATGGGAGGAACTCTACATTTAGAAGGAAATTCAAGAAACCCATTACGACTATCCATTTACTACGAAGCGAAAAGTTTATTCGTTCATGTATCAACTTTGAATTGCATTATTCACCGAGGAAAACTTTTACTAAAAAAAGGAATTACAAGCTTCTAGTTAAAATGAAGAGTCATATACAATTTCAAAGGAACAGACTTTTGTTAACATTACTGCATACTGACTTGCATAATGACTTGGATCATGCAGATTATGTTGGTGATCCATCCATTTTAAATTCATGATTGATAGATATAAACGGTAAATAGAAATTTAAACTATAGAAAAAGATTGGTTTGTATCCTTACAGGAAACCAGGATTTTTTATTTTGGCATTACAGGAACTTTGTATTATTACAAATTCCTGTTTAGTTGGGTAATACATTACAGTGAAAGAGTGATTGGTATAATTATATTTCCTACCGAAATCTATGAAAATTATTACCACCAAGGTTTTATAGCGATTTTCACTTTTTTTTTATTTTGATTTTTACTATTTATTTGAATTTCGTTTTCCATTGTTTCCATTTTTGAAGGAATTTGAAAGGCAGATAAATCTCGTAGAAAAGTATTTTCATTACTTTTTTTTACCTTCTTTGTTTCCTTGTTCATTCTTAAAATAAAGAAAACAAATGAACAAGAAAACTTGTATCGTCTGCGTGGAAGGTCCTGCAAAGTATAAGTGTCCCAAATGCTCTGCTCCTTAGTAAGTATAGTAGACGCGATGCGTTTACCTTTTTTACTTTCGACAAACATCACTAACGAGTTTTCATAAGTTGTTCGCTTGCTTGCTGGAAGCAACATCAGCAGCAATGTTCAGTTACTTCCAACACAAGTCTGGATACCCTTGAGGATGATAAGAACAAACACGATCTTCTTCCTCCTAAGCCATCTCCTAATGTCCTCTTTGTGAACGGCAGATATCCCACCATTGCGGATGAAGCTCTTCCAACTAAATCCCAAATCAGTCAAGCTGTGGATGATCCCAACGTACAGGAAATGCTGCAAGCAAACCCGGAAGTGAGGACTTCAATAAAAAGGCTTGTTGAACTTCATAAGTCCGAAATGGGTCCCGTCCCTACGCGAACATTGGATGCTATACAACAAAACCGACTTCATAATCCAGAATTCGAACAACTTGCTTCATATATCCTCGACAAGTACTATCATATCGAGGAAGAAAGCGGCTAGCAAACCGTTGAACTTTAGGCAATGTTTCATTTTACACTGGGGTTTTATGAGCATAAAAATTGACACGCTGTAAAATATCAGGGGAAAACAAAAAGGGAATGTAATGTATATAGCGAATTTTACTCTTTAAAAACTGGTTCATAATAACTTTTTTCTTTATTCATTCTATTTTTAACCCATTACTTTTGTAATATATAAGGATGAATCTGTAATCACGGCCACATAGTTACCATTCCTGTGCCAGTCCATACCAACAATCAAACCATCCAATTGTACAGGATTTGGACTGGAGCCTTTCTCCGCAACATTAATAAGTTGAAGTGTCCCTTGGCGTTGAGAACTGGCAGTCATAAAGTAATCAGGGTATCGAGGATGGGGACAGGCTCCGCAGAACGTTGGGAACAGAGAAGCACCCTGGTGATCAGGTAGAAGCGTTCGGGGTTGGGGATATCCTACATCCTCTTCCATGTCATAACTTCCATTTCCTGCTTTTGCAAACAAATCCCAACGTAACCAAGCACCACTCTTACAAACTACTAAGATGCTGGTGCCATCAGGACCAACCCAACGGGCGTTCGCTAAAGTCGATGCTAACCCAGCATTTCGATAACTATGGACAACCTGTGAAACATTCAAGGTATAAAGCCAAGGTGTGATCGATGAGACCTGTTCAGAAACATCCTGGCCCATCGATTCATCAGTGTTATTAGGAGGACTAGTCCAATCGAAAACTCGTACATTTCCAGATTTCTCTCCAACGAGCAAGTGATTAGGATTTACTGGATGAAATTCAACGCTAATACCAGGGGAGGATAGAGAATATCCGGCCAGAACAGGGCCATTATCTGTAAGTCTCCAGATGATTAGAGTGTTGTCATCACCGACCGATGCTATCACTTGTTCTGCAAGTTTATTGTCTGCAGAATATACATCAACAATATCGATAGCATTAACAAAGCTGTGGTGTCCAGATTTTCCTCCTAAAACGTGCTGGGTTATTATCGAGTCATTACGCGCAATTATCAGTCGAACTGTATTATCCTCGCATGCACATGCAAAGCATAAGGTATAATTATCTAAAATGTTGTTCTCCAATAGCCCTTCCATTTGAATATCTTGTTGTGGCTTTTCTTCTTTCTCATTTTCTGAACATATGCAATTAGCGGAGAATGCCAATTGAAGAACCGGCAAGCCTATATGTATAGTATAGAGTTTGACTAGGTCCTTCATCGAGGGCTCCCCGTTAGCAAATTCAGTAGCCTTATAAACCGTTATACCAGTATCATGTCCTTCAATACAGGTTAGTTTTCGTTCGATAAAAAAAAAAAGAAACAAAGCAAAAAAAAGAGACTTATAGAATCAAAACATTTAGCTTTTCTACATTCAATTACTCACCTATAGCTAGCAGATTTGAACAACTGGAAGAAGCAGGGCACCATTTTGCAGTAAATGGACGATTTTCCAAAGTCAACCTAAAAGGAAGATGTCAAAACACATTGATCTTATTAATTTTACATACTCCAAAGAATTTGATGAGGAAGTCATCCTACAAACGAAAGACAAGAAATGATGAACGTTGGGAAAGGAAAGTCTTGATGTTTTCTGAGGGACTTCGTATTTTTGCACCCAAAAAAGCAAATCAAACAAACTATGAATAAAATTAAACCCACAATTTACGAATGTACAAATACGGCCTTTTTTTTTGGTTCAGTTACTCACTCTATTTCCAGAAGCTTAGCTAATTTTTGAACTTTCTTTTTTAGAATCCATTACAACTCTATATCAATGCACTACTGCAACTACACAGCTCTTGTACTGCTAAGCTAGATACTCTACTTCATCAACAAACTACCTGCCAAGTAATCCCAAATATTCTTAAAGAATTATATTCATTATATAATAATAATTAACTAAACACCTGACACAATTATCCCACCGATTTATTACGGAACGAAAGGAAAACTATTCCGTCCCGTATGAAGTACCACAGCGGCTTTTTCTCTATCCTACACGTTCCCCAAGCCAGTTACATAGAAACGTGAAAATGGCTTGTGAATAGTGTGGATTCATACGAATGTGGATTTTCTAGCAGAATTCTCGGCCTTATATCTTCTACTCAAAGCGCAGTCACAGGCTACGGTGACTATCGTTAATAAACAATTCGATGGGAAAAAGTCAGAGGAATGTGTCTGTGTTAAATACATAAATACATAATGGTAGTATATACATGAAGACTAACTGAGTAAAATAAACGCACGAATGAATTCATTTGAGATAACAAACATGGGGAAGTTGATCGTGCTGAGGTATAATCCAAAGCCAGTTACAAATGTTCGCTGAAATATTCAACTTTGGAACAATGAAGATTACCATGTTGAAGAGCATAGTAATTCGAAGCCTGCTATTTGCTACGTTGTCTACTGCGTTTTTGAAAGTGACTCATTTGATCAAAGGAAAAGTTATTTTCACTTCATTAGTAATCATTAAGCGAATCATGATGGAGGCAATGGGCATCATATCTTTTTATTCCTTTTTAATTCCCTTTTTGTTTTTTTCTTTCAGCATTCCATCGCGTCGAGCATCCTCAAGGACATCTGAGCTTCTTTCTTCAAATTCTTTTTTCATTTTTGTGGTAGCTTCCTTAGCTTTTCCCTCATAATCTGTGTTTTTCAATTCCTGAGCTGTCTGTTTGACGTTTTCTGTAGCCTCTTTCTTTAAGTCTTGTGCGGGCTTTTCACTTGCCTTTTCTGCCTCCTGCGAAACCTCTTGACCCTTCTTTCCTAATACCTTCTTTAGCTTCTCAAGCTTTTCAGGACTCTCTTTAAGGGTTTCCTTGATGTATTGGCGGATTGTTGTATTTCTGGGTGCTGTTGCACTCCATGACCACGCAAATCTTGTTGCTCGAAATGCCATTTTGCAGGTGGTATAGATGTTTATTCAAGGATATAAGGATTCAACTATTGTTTTCTTCCGCTAGCTTGATGAATGAAAGCTTCAATGTCTTCTTTCCTTAAAACAGTATATATATATATATATATATATATATATTCACAAGTCGATAAATTACATCAATAGTGCATCATGAATTTGCGGTTTGTCATGTACTCTTCAATTGAACTACGCCAACGGTTTAAACTTAATTTACCGATGAGAAAAGAATCGATTTCATATTTACGTGTTTGTTTACTTTTATAATGAACTTCAGCGTTATGCTGTGATGTTTGTACCTATATTTACATGTGGGCTGGGTTGAGCCTCTAATGTTTGTTTACGAGTATGAAATTAACACGGGACAGATTGTACCTCTGCCACTCGCTATCGTACAGGGATCGCAAGGAGTAAAGCAGAATTGTGAATGACTGGCTCTCAAGGGAACTCTTTCATTCATCACTCACATAATCAAGTTGGTCAAGGTTTCCCTATTACATCTTCCCAGTCTATTTCTGAGCCATATTCAGAAATATCAGATAATTCAGGAGCTTCTACCGGAAGCTCTCATGATTCTGCTTCTCCAGTTGAAGATGAATTTGCAACTTCTGTTGCTCATCTTCCAAATCGGGAAAGGTCAGGCTCGTATGATGGCCCCCCGAATTCCAAACTTGCATCCTATGCGAATGCCAAGGAGACTTCGATCTCTGGACAGAGTGATTTGCCAAATGAAGCGCCATCTCGTCGTATTTACGTGAATCATATTCCCAATGAACATGCAAATCTTCCAAAGCAGACGTTTCCTGGCAATAAAATACGGACAACAATGTACACTCCTTTAAATTTTATTCCGAAGAACCTTTACAACCAGTTCAAAAACGTTGCTAACATTTTTTTCCTGTTTCTCATCCTTCTTCAGGTAACTTAAATACATACAAAAACGTGATTAATCCTTTTGACCACTTTATTTTTTGTTTGCTAACTTCTTGTACAGTGTATTCCTACTTTTCACGCAAGACATCCTGCGCTGCCGTTCATTCCACTAACTATCATTCTGTTGAGTACAGCCATAAAAGATGGAATCGAAGACTACAGGAGGTCTATTCTTGATAACAAGTTTAACCATACTATTACATTCAAACTTGTTGGTTGGAAAAATGTGAACTCCTTAAACGAACATGTCGGGCTCTGGAGGCGTTTCAAAAAATTCGTTTCGCACACTGTTCATGACAACTTAAAATCACACGAAAACAAATCACAGTGTCCATCGTATGCTCCGTCGATATTTTATTCCCATAGAAACAGTCGCGATTCTAATTCGTCCAACTTCTCCCTCATGAGCTCTCGAGATAGCATTGAAGCATTGGGTATGGGAAATACCTCATTATTTCGAAATTTTTCTGTAGTTCCCAAGAACCAAAATGTGTCTTCTGAGGCTCACTTTGAACCTGTCTATCGAAAGAAAATACAAGTGGGTGACATCGTTCGCGTTCGTGCTAATGAAGCAATCCCTGCCGATCTTTTAATTCTGTCTACTGAAAATAAAGAAGGTATTTGCTATGTTGAGACAAAAAATCTTGATGGGGAAACGAATCTCAAGGATAAGTATTCTCTTTATTCCACCAAAGACTGTCGTTCTGAACTGGAGTGCTCCATTGCGTCTTTTTGGGTTCAGTCCGAAGAACCTCATTCAGATTTGTATAATTTGACAGGCGTTGTAGAGACTCATGTTTCCGATGATAGTATAGAAACGGCGGAGAATCCTTCCACTCTAAAACAAGAACCATTTAATATGTCTAATATAGCCCTCTGTGGCTGCACCCTTCGAAACTCTAAATGGATTATAGGCTTAGCTTTATACACTGGGTGTGAAACTAGGATACAAATGAATCGGGGCGTTACTCCTTCAAAACGAAGCCGAATTACAAGAGAGCTCAATTGGACGGTACGTACACGTCGACATTTTCTTCTTTTTATTAACATTTAAGATCTTTCTGAATTTTTTGCTTCTTTTTCTGATGTGTATTATCTCGGGCATGTTGAGGATGGTATATTCAGCTCGCCAGAATTCTGCCAAAGTATATGAGTTTTATGAGTTATCAACAGCAACTACCTCTGTACCTGTTCAAGGTATCGTCAGCATTTTCACCTGTTTAATCCTGTTCCAAAACCTAGTACCCATCTCCTTATACATCACGATTGACATTGTTCGTACAATTCAATCTTTTTTTATTCACAGTGATATTGAGATGTATGATGAAAAGCTTGATTATCCTTGTTCGCCTAAGTCTTGGAATATTTCTGATGATTTAGGCCAAGTTGAGTACGTCTTTTCTGACAAAACCGGAACCCTGACTCAAAATGTTATGAATTTTAAGCGGACTACTATAAACGGTATTGTATATGGAGAAGCATATACCGATGCTACACGCGGTTTTGAAAGAGCTCATGGTCGTAATAATATACAGCAACGGCTGAATGAAATTAAAGAAGATAGAGAAAGAATGATAGAGTTGAGCAGATACGGAAACCCTGCGACCTCTTCTTTTGTCTCAAGTAAACTTGTTAGGGAATTACATTCGACCAATGAACAGTCAACACACTGCAGAGATTTTTTCACTGTACTAGCTCTCTGCCACTCTGTTGTTACAGATGGCCATGGTGATTCTTTAGTATACAACTCTCAGTCACCGGACGAAGAAGCTTTGGTGAAAGCTGCTTGTGATCTTGGGTTTATTCTCAAAAGTACTAAAAATAAACGTTATGTTGTTGAAATACTTGGAAAACGTAGTCGATTCCAAGTGCTGGATATTATTCCATTTACATCAGCAAGAAAACGCATGAGTATAATTATTCGAGATCACGAAGGCTATATAAATCTATATTGCAAGGGTGCAGATAATGTGATACTTAGAAGATTGGCAGGAGATAATTCAGAGGAGCTAATTCAGAAAACAATACAGGATCTCTCTCTCTTCGCTGCAGAAGGGTTTCGGACCTTGTGCGTTGCTCAGAGAAGACTGGAAAAAAAGGAATACCTCGAATGGAAAGTCAAGTTCAATGAAGCTAATTCAGCGTTACATGATCGAAATGAAAAGATTGATCAAGTTTCAAACTTAATTGAACGGGAATTAAATTTACTGGGAGGAACCGCGATTGAAGACAAACTTCAGGACGGTGTGCCTGAAACCATAGATCTACTCTCAAGAGCAGGAATTAAGTTATGGGTATTGACCGGTGACAAAGTTGAAACAGCTACCAACATCGGCTACTCATGCAACCTATTGGAAAGCGGGATGTCAATTATCCGTATTGATTCCACTTTTTCTGAACAAGAGCAAATAAGGGATTTTATTTTGAAGAACTTAAATGATTATTTTGGTTTGAAAGGAACCGAAGAGGAATTTAAAATGATGATGCAGAATCATGATCCCCCTTCAACTGAGCATGCTGTCGTGATAGATGGATGTGTTTTGAGTATGATTCTCGAAAGTGAATTTGCTAATCAGTTTTTGATGTTATGCAAAAATTGCAGGACTGTTTTATGTTGTCGGGTCAGTCCTTCTCAAAAAGCAGCCGTCATATCCTTAGTAAAACATTCGCTGGATGTCACAACACTTGCTATTGGTGATGGTGCAAATGATGTGTCGATGATTCAGCAAGCAGATATTGGAATTGGAATAGCTGGCCTTGAAGGACAGGCCGCAGCAATGTCTTCCGACTATGCTATAGGTCAATTTCGATTTTTATCTCGGTTGCTCCTAGTGCATGGGCGATGGGATTACAAAAGGACTTCCCAAATGATTTCAAACTTTTTTTACAAAAATGTCATTTGGACTTTCACTTTGTTTTGGTACCAGTTGTATAATGAGTTCGATGGTAATTACATTTTCGATTATACCTACGTGATGCTATTTAATTTACTTTTCACTTCTTTTCCTGTGATTATAAATGGTTGCTTTGATAAGGACGTGGATGCTGAAACGTCTCTTAAATATCCTCACTTATACAAGTCAGGTATTTTACGGCAAGAATGGAGTAAAAGGAAATTTTGGTATGCTGCTATTAATGATAATGCTGAATATACTAATGATTTATAGGCTATCCGTTTTAGATGGGATTTATCAATCAATGATTTGCTTTGGTGTGGCCCTTTTTGTTTTTACTGCTGGTAATTTCGTAAGTCCTTCTGGCCATCAGACCGAGTCAATTGAAGACATTGGATTGTTTATATCATCCCCGGCAATTTTTGTCATTAACACGTTCATTCTCTTGAATCAAGAAAGTTTGGACCTTGTTTCTGTGGGTACGTGGCTTTTCAGTTTGGTCATATTTTGGTTCTGGACTGGTGTTTATTCGGAAATATTGGGTTCGAATGCGTTTCATAAAACAACTTTTCGAGTCTGTAAAACGCTGGCGTTTTGGGTAGTGAATTTATTAACTATTGTTTTGTCTCTATTTCCTCGGTTGTCCGCTATTTTAGCACAAAAGCTATTTTATCCCAAGGAAGTTGATTTGCTTAAAGGGAAACTAGAGAGAGAAGAAGGTCTTCGTATGAGAAATCAGTCTTCTACGGTTGAAAATTCTTCGGTAGTTCCCTCTTTATCTATTCCCGAAAGAGAAGAACCTCCAAACTTTTCTTATGGACATTCTACAATTTCACTACCTATAACATCCTCAAGTTCTTTAACTTCTAAGAAGCGTCCTCGAACTATCGTTTAATAAATAAAGGCCAGTTCAGGACAATACTTAGATGTTTTTTCTACTTAAACATCTTTGTTATTTTATAGAAATAACGATCTTTGTTTTTTTTTTCCTATAGCAAAATTTTTCTAAACCCTTAGATTTTTCAACAGCATAATTCAATAATCCATAACTAAATCATTTCACAACCATTTGGTGGTCCAAACCATTTTTTCTTTATTTTTCTTTTCTCTTATTATTTTATTTTCTTACTCTTTTGTTTTCTTTTGTTTACATCCTTGACACAATCCATTTCACTATACTTTGTTGCGAGTCTTTGCGCAGAAGTATTTATTTGCTAAAAGAAAATAAGAACAAAATTATCGTACATTCTTAAACGGCAGTATCTTCTAAATGTATTCACGGCATAGAGGAAAAAGAGTTTGGTAGCATTACACCAAAACACTGCACATACCCTAGAAATAGCAATCTCTGAATTGCAGTTCATATAGAGTTTTTCAATGCCTCAGATATCTTCAATAACTCAGGAGGATAAATCAATTATTCGAAAATATATCCCGAAAAGCACGAACAAAATCCTTGCGGCTGGCATTGCGAAATTATATATTGCGTATCCAGACCCAAACAGATGGTCTTATACTGGGCTCTGTGGAGCAGCAGTCTTATGTTATGATACGACTATGAAATGTTGTTGGTTAAAACTTGTTGACGTCGTGGTAAGTCGTGGAAGAAGGCTTCACAGAAAATAAATTAACAGTTGATTTAGGGAAATGGAGGAGTTTTGTGGGACCAAGAATTGTATGAAAATTTTGAATATTTCCAAGATCGCACATTTTTCTATTCTTTTGAGATCGATCAATGTTTTGCAGCACTCAGTTTTTCCGATGAAAGCGAGGGATCCAAATTTTATCGCAAGGTAATTGAAAAAGGCTGCCACCCAGAGTCCGTAGAAAATTCTGTGCTTTCATTTCTCACACGTAAGGGTTCCAAACGCTCGTCCGGCACTAGGCAACTCTCTAACTCTTACACTGCACCTTCGTATCCTACGAGAGAAAAGGATGCGGTTGAGGGTAATTCATCAAATCTCGATCTTGACCCTAGCCTTATTGACTCTCTTGTGAAAATGGGCATTTCGAAGGACCAAATTGAGCAAAATGCTGATTTCGTCATGTCCTATATTCATAGTAATGCTCCTGAAGCTTCTCACACATCATCTCCACCTTCTGTACCTTCCGTTCCTTCTTCTCTCCCTCCCTCCGTACCTAATGTTAATGGACCTTCTTTGTCAACTCCCTCTATACCTAATCATGTTCCTAACGGAGCAACATCTACCCCTTCTTCTCATTTACCTCCTCCGCCACCACCACCGGAATCTGCACCTTCATCGCAAATTCGATCTCCTTTGACAGCGAAGAAATCGTCCGTACCTCCCCCTCCCCCTCCTAAATCTAATTCTTCTGCTATTGCTGCAAACAAGAAGAGGGCACCTCCCCCACCTCCTTCCCGTAGAAACAAGGTCAAGTCGCCATTGTCGAGTGCAGGATCTACAGCTACTTCTTCATCACCTTTTCCCCCACCTCCACCACCTCCTAAAAATGCAACGTCCCCAACTGGTCGAACTTCAACGCAGGCGCCTCCACCACCTCCTCCACGGTCTGCTACAGCTCGACATACCCCTCCTTCTCAGTCTCAAGCTCCTGCAATTCCTGCCCGCTCCGTTCCAAGTTTGCCTCCTCCGGAACAAGCTCCTACTTTTGACACAGCGCCTTCTCCAGCGTTACCTGCTACTTCACCTCCTCCATTGCCATCTGGTGCTAATACCCCATCTGCACCACCACCACCTCCACCGGCTCCTGCACCCGTACTAGCAGTTCCTGCACCTGCTCCACCGCCAGCACCAGTGCCTCCCGCACCATCCGTGAGCGGTGATTCAAGTGATTCAGCACTTCCAGTACAGAATGGTAGAGCTGACTTGATGGCGAGTATTCGTGCTAGCGGCGGTATTGATTTGTTGAAAAGTAGAGTATGTTAACCAAGCGACAGCCACTATGTTCCCTGTTACTAACCTCCTAATCTAGAAATCTACTTCTCCCAGTGTTAGTTCTACACGTACTTCAAATCCTCCTCAAGAAGCGCCTTCTAGTAATAATTTAATGGACGCGCTTGCTAGCGCACTGAATCACCGTAAAACAAAAGTTGCTCAGAGTGGTATGTTAGAACTTTGAGGCTTAAATGTCCTATGGATTGTTTAGTTACTAACGTATTACTACAGATGAAGAAGATCAAGACGACGATGAATGGGATTAATGGAAGTACTCGAATATGTTTTTACGGAAACGACAAAATCGGGATTTTGAAACACTTTTATTTTTATTTTTAGAGGAATTTGGTTTCCTTAGTATTGTGTTTTTACCGTACCTGTTGTCTCCTTTTATCCGACATGTTTGTACATCATTTGACAGAATGGAAGTCGTTCTTTTGATAAAATTTTCAGTTCGTTGTTTTTGTTATAACCATGGATTCTACAACTTCTATTTCTATTATTTTCATTTATATGGTTTCTTTCATATTTCCTGGAATTTTCCGATGTATCCTACACTTTAAAATAGCAGATTGTAGCGAGGTCGTTATAGGAATTCCGTTAATCTTACTAAGTTAGCTTATACGAAGATCTGAATAAAGAAAAGAAGAAACAGCCCTTGAGCAGTCACAAAATTTCGGTAGCACAACATTTGGCGCTTACTGTTAAAGTCCTTCCACAACCAAATACTCAATTTTGGTCAAATAGAAAAGAATGGATCCCGCTAAATTGGCTAAGTTACAAGCTGGTGCTCGTATTGGTATGTAATTTTGATGGGGGTTTTTCACTCAAAGGCATAAAGTTGCGAATGAACACGATGTAAACATTGCTTTATAGTTCGTCTTATTAGGAAAATACAATTTTGTGTTCTTTTACATCGTACTTACCTAATGCCTGCAAAAATATAAATCATAGATATCAGCGATATTGATGCTAATAACTTCCATTTAGGTGGTAAGGGTACTCCTCGCCGTAAGGCTAAAAAGCCTGCCAAGTCTGCTACCAGTGCTACTGATGACAAGAAGGTTCAAGGCGCTTTGAAGAAATTGAACATGCAAACCCTTCCTGGTATCCAAGAAGTCAACATGTTCAAGGAAGATGGTGGTGTCATTAACTTCCGTACTCCTGCTGTCCAAGCTTCTCTCCCCAATGAGACTGTTGCTGTTTACGGTAAACCTGAAGAGAAGTCTTTGACCGATATTCTTCCTGGTATTTTGAACAACCTCGGTCCTGAGTCTCTTACTGCTCTTCGCCAAATGGCTGAGCAACTCAAGGTCAGCGAGGGCAACGAAAAGGGTGCTGCCGGCGAGTCTGGCGACGGTGAAATTCCTGACCTTGTTGAAAAATTTGACGAACAAGACTAAATAACCAACGAAAATAATTCATGTTGATTGTGTTATATGTACACTGTATAAGAAAATGCATTCATAGCGCGGTAAAGAAATTTCTAAATGCCGTAATTTCTACAAGTAATGGAAGTAAAGCAAAAACCATGATGCAGCAATTGCTCAACGATGCAATGGTACAACACATATGATAAAAATTCGAGAGTTTTCAATGTTTCCTAACTTACATGGTAAAAGTGTAGCTGTTTTGCAAGGCTAAAGTCTTGCAGAAGTAATTGAATATGCAAACTAATTCACAAGAATTCTCAATTAGAAACCTAGATTAATAAGGTTTAGAGGTGTATTTGTTAAAACGAGATTGTCTACGGCCATACCTAGGCGAAAACACCAGTTCCCGTCCGATCACTGCAGTTAAGCGTCTGAGGGCCTCGTTAGTACTATGGTTGGAGACAACATGGGAATCCGGGGTGCTGTAGGCTTTCTCTCTTTACTTTTTCTACTTTTTAAAAGTTATTGGATTTATCTTTTATTTTACTTTTGCAATTGTCTTGGAAGAGATCGAACTGTTGTATACTTGCTGCAGATCGGTTACTTGCCAGGTGACAATACACAAAAAAGGTCTTTTTTGAAAGT